GAGACCCGAACTGCCAAACTGCTGGCAGCCGGTGATCAGCTGACTGCATTCGAACCACTGTGCCACCGCAGCAAAGAGAGAGAGCAAAGCAAGGCAATGGCAAACATTGCTTAAACCAGAACAATGGAGCAATATACATATACATCCATACAACCTTGAGCTGGTGAGAACTGCTGACAGTCGGCAGAATTAGCCTGCAATACTGCATTCTAACCACTGCGTCATCCTGGCTCTTTACCAATGAAAATGAGCTCCTGAGCTCCGTTTTCAGCTGGAAGGGCCTCCTGCAACCCTCTGCCAGCAAAAACTGAGCTGGGGGGGGGACATGCGTGCCCCTCGTGAGCTCTGTTTTTGGCTAGGATGGCCTCCTGCAACCCTCTGCCAGGGAAAATGGAGCATGTGGCCCTCCTGAGCTCCATTTTTTGTTGGCAGAGGCACTGTGGGCCGGTCCTTCGCTCTTTCCAAGGCGGCCCCACGCGCCAGATATAAGCACCCTGTGGGCTGGATCCAGCTCCCCAGGCCTTGAGTTTGACACTTCTGAATTAGCCTTTTGGAGCTGTACAATACTGGTAAATGTTGCACTAAGAAACTTTTGAGTTATGTACTGTCTGAAAATATTCATCTTGATTAAAATATAGCTACGTAATCCTTAGCATTATAACAGCCCAGTAAGGCTATGGACAAATTCTTTCTTTGCTCAGAGCAAAGAAAGAGCATGCAACCATGCTAACATTCTAACCATGTAATAATCTCTTCTTATTTGAATAATTTAATAATACTCTTTGAAAGACTAAATTGAAGAGAATTGTAAAACTATTTTTTAATCATTTCAACTCTTAGCTTTTTATAGGGGGGTGATGGTCACTAAAGAGACTGGATAAAGGCATGCTTTATTCCCCAGAACAAGCTTTTGGGGAATATTCAGTCTTGAAAATCCAATGCCATCTTCAGGCTTGGAACAGCATATTTATAAAGAAGTTGCAAAGGAATAATAATGGGAAAGGGGTATTTCCTCGCCCTGTTGGTGAACATCTCACAGGCTTCTGTGGGCTATTTGTGAGAAATGAAACTCTGGGCTAATATGGATTTTGATGTGAGCCAACAAGGCTGTTCTTAAAATCTTCTATCATTATTCCTGAGATGGAGATTGAGCAGTTGCCTTTGATCTACCATTTTTTGCCAATATTCCTGTGACTTTTCCCACTACAAATTTCTCAATTTTGTTAATTAGAGAAAAATTTGATTGAGTACAATATATAGGTTACCCACTGTGCTAGAGAAGAGATGTGTGAATAGCATAATATCACATTTTGAGGAATAAATTTTAGCAACAGTTAGTGCAATCTAACATTCCTAATGTTATCATATACTGTTTACTTAAAGAAGGTGAAAGGCAAGATATATTTATATATTAGTAGCAGCTAAAATATTCATTCCCAGGCAAAGAGTTGAAAAAGAGTTTAAGAAACTCTTAAAAGTTTTAGGAATGGATATTATCTTATGTATTTCAGACCAAAGCTATTATCAAACAAAATTTGACTGATTATATACCATCAAGTTGGTATCAACTTTTAGTGATCACATAGATTTTTTCAGGATGATCCATCTCCAACTTGATCTTCCAATGAAGCATCTATTGCCACTGTAATTGAGTCTATTCATTTTGCAAATCCAACTTTTGCTTCCACGGAATATCACAAATAATTGTACACAGAATTGTACCATTCTGATTTTGTAGGTATAGACATGTTAACAACATCTTAATATCTTTTAAAGGTCTTCATAAATACTCTATCATCAAGTACCAATCTGTGGCATATAGTTCAATTGCTGGAATTCTAAGAAGCAGAAACATCTTACCACTTTAGCATCTTCATAGTCAATTGGTCCCATGTTTTTACTGTGCTCCTTGGCTACAATCATTTTTATTTGCATGTTTAATGATAAGAATACAGTATATAAGAATACAGTAATGTCATCAATATAGTACAGATTATTGATGCTCCTCCAATTTTAAGATCTTGCTCATCTTCTTTTAGTCCAGCTTTCCACAATATATAATGTACCTTGTCTCTTGCATATATTATATGCTTTGTGTCACTTCTTTACTGACGTGGAACCAATCTATTTTACCATATTATATCTGCAGCATTTTGATCTGTGTGTATATTTTGCATGAGGACAATGAAATGGAGCAGTGGAGATGTGAGAGTAAGATAGTAAGACAGAAAACGGTACAGAAAAATTCAGGGACTGGGTTTCTGGTTTGGTGTACTGCATTTCAATTAAACATGATGGGGGCAAACCTCTGAGTCACAATGTATTTGTTGGGTATGTAGGAAAAAACACACTTGTCATATATACCACAAACTTCTTTCTAATGCACAGGAACAGTGCACATATTTTCATTTGGCAGTTTTTCTATAAGACAAAGAAAGCAACATAACCTACGGACTTGGCAACCAGTCTCAACAGCATGACAACATTATCTGTAATGCATACACAATGCAGAGTTTTGCATTTGCAGTCTGCCTGAAATAGGAAAACACAACACATTCAGTACAATATTACATTGTGGTGGGTTGCTACCGGTTTGCCCCGGTTCGGGTGAACCAATAGCAGCGGCAGCAGGAGGCTCCACCCATCCCCCTGGATATCATCAAATACACTCTGTGCATGCTCAGAAGCTTCAGAAGCGAGGGCGCGTGCATGAGCGAACCAGTAGCAAAGGTAAGTGAAACCCACTGATTACAACCCATGAACTCTAGTTTTTCACATTCTTGGTACTTTTTATTCTAGATGTACCACACATTATAAAATATTATTATAAGAATTCATAGTACACTTATACAAAAAGCTGTGTTATTTCCTGGAATATATAATCAGTTTTTAATTCTTTGTTACAGATATATGCATGAAATGCAAAAAAAAACCCATTTTGTTTATCTTAGGCAATCATAGTGTCGATCATAGTGAATAATTGAAAGTCCAAAAACTCCTTACATAACTCCTTACATGGTATGAATGTGACTTTTCCTACCAATATCCAGAAAAATTTTTTTTTGTATAACTCACTCAAATATCTTAACATTTATAGAAGTGCCATATATATCAAGTCTGGACTTCTTACTTAAAGAGAAATATGAGCCGATAGGTTGATTATTTTATACTCTATATTATTAGAATGTTGGTAGAAATTATTACTTCAAATAAAAATCTAAATGCTATACAATATGTACAATTAATATTCACTTAGTGATGTTAAAGTAACGGTAGTCTAGATTGCTGAATTCAGAAAAGAGGAAGGTAAATTGTGATGTTAAAACTTCCTTTCATCTGAATATTCTGCTATATTGAATCCAAATGAAGTCATGAAATTTCTCTAGGAAAGTTTTCAAAAGAATTAGTCTAAACTACAGCTATAAAACAGTCAATGGGGCTGAAAAGGTGGATTGAAAAATTGGACAGACATATTACTCTTAAGAAACAAATGTTTTAAAGACCGTGAAAGAAGCATGAGCAGAACTGACTGCTCATCCAATTTGGTTCAGCATTCACTTAATTCTTTATTAGTATAATGTCAGGAAGAAAAATTTTACTTACTTTATTCCATATTGATACTTTTCAAAGAAAATAAGAGTCTCCATTCACAATATTGCTATACAGATAGCAATATTTAGTATAGGTAGTCCTTCAGCTGCTGTGACTCCAATTTTTGCTTTATAGGTTAGAATCAGAATTTTGAAATGGATCTAGAAGAGATTTGAGACATACAATAGTATTGTAATGCTGTATAATTGTAATTCCTCATTTCTTTAAGTATACACATCCTGTGCAGCAAAATTGTTGTTAACCCATTTTCACAGGCAGTTCATTTACAGCACATTGCATTAATTTATGTAGAAACTTGCAAAACTTACAGTTCTGAAGGCAGGATTTCTCTAATGAAGGTTTCCTAATTAAAACCAATTAAAAGTGTTCTTGATCATCAAAGAAAAGTCATAAAAATATAGCCAAAAATAGCCATAAAGCACTCTTAAACTAAAAGCTCTATTTCTTGAAGGAAGTGCAGATCTTTCCAGAATATATTGAACATTATGATCCCAAATAGAAGAATGACTTAGTATCAATTTCTCGCTCTTATATGGACTGCATTTTAATTGATTGGATCTTATTGAATCTATTGTCATGGTCTGGATTAAGCAATTCATTCCAATATGGTTAAAAAAAGAGACCGAAAGAGAGAAGCGTGCCTTTATGAGAAAATACAACTTTAGTGCACCACACAATACAAATGTGACTTCAGTTTGTAACTTTTATATGGTTTTGTCTGTAGTCTAGTGGACATTGAATCAGATAGCATCACAACCCGAGACAAACAGGAATGCAAATTTTATATCTATGTGATTACCTGTCTAGTAGAGTAGGGGGATGGAGCACTGCAACTGTTGAATTGTTTCATACGCTTCTGCCTCTGCTTCTTATAGTCAGCATGTCACATGTGAACTAATTATGATCATTTAAATGATAATCTTATGAAAACTAACTTTCAAACACTATTGGTAAACTATTGACTCTTCTCACCAAAAGAAATGCTGATATTTTTTATCAGAATTCTAAGAGAACAACTCAGTAGGATGTGCAGTTACAATAGTTTCTAAGTATCTTTAGTCATGTTAAACTGGTTCAGACTGGATATTTTAAGGATCTGACAGCTACTTGACACATGTGAAGGAGTACGCTGCATAATAAATTAGTTTTACCAATTAATTGAATAGATTTTTATTCTTTAGTTAATGTTAATGTAAAGGAACATGTGTAATTAAAATAGGAGCTGAAAATCTTCTGTTTCAATTTTTGTTAAATATGGGAAGAAAGTGTCAGAATAATTGCGCAATTTTGATTTTTTTTTTATATATAGAAACTGATTCTTTTCATATTCTCTGAAATTATTTGAAATGTATTAAGAGTATCCATTTATTTTCTTCTTTTTCCAACAGATGTTTCAGCTGCTAAGCATGTCAGCAGGGTAAGTACTATAGTATTATGGCTCAGTTCTCATTAAGTGACTGGTTGTTAGCTGAGGACTGCCCATACATGTGGAAACCTTTAAGTCAATTTAAATGTCTTTGTTGTACTTGATAATGGTTTGTATATCATTCCCAAACAAAAAACACTTTTACCCAATTTTGGGTAATTTACCCAGGTTTGGAAATTACTGATTACATGATCTCTTTCAATATCTAAAGGCACAAAACTTTCCAAAGCTCCTGGAAGCAATTGTGGTCCCAAAAGGATTGGCTCTGGGCTACTCGTCTCTTAACTTTTTATGTGCAGAACAGTAGCAGAATAGAGATGGAAAGTAGTCAACCAGGTGGTCCTTTCTCAATTCTGTACTAGGAAGAAAATAACTTGTTGGATAGAGGTGATGTATCCAACACTATCAATTTCAGGATCCAATCTGGGTTGGTCACTGTGACCAGAGGTTTTTCTTCCAAACTTTTGGATTTGTTCTGGAGCCCATCTTCAGGGAACTTCTCTGTAGCCTAGAAGGACATTTCCTGAAAATGGGCTGCAGCATAAATCTGAAAGCTTGGAAGACAAAACCTCTGGTCCAGGTGACCAATCCAGATTGGATCCTGCAACATTGTCTGGGGACATGTATATTTGTTTTAATTTGTGAGTATCACTTTCTTTTTATTTTCTACGGACTATAGGAATATATTCCATAGAAAAAGGAACTTTAACCTATCAACATTTCCAAAATATAATAATTATATATTTTTAGAAATATAGGAAGCTGCCTTAAATCAAATAAACATTTCAGTGAGTTCAGTACAGTGTTATTTACTCCAATTGATATAACCTTGTTAGAAAATTGTATTGCCTTGCTTTGCCATCTGATGCTGAGAATTTAATCTGGAACAATTTGTATGCAGCACATTCAACTATGACTAACTTGATTTCAGTATGAAAAAAATGATTTAACCTGGATCTAGTCTATAGGAAATAGATATAGATAAACTGTCTAGAAAAATAGGGTCTTGTGATTCCCCTTTTTCTTTTGTCTAAGCCAGGGGTGTCAAACTCAAGGCCCAGGGGCCAGATTTGGCCTTCAGGGTGCTTAGATCTGGCCCTCAGGGCCACCTTGGAAACAGTGAAGTACTAGCCCACAGTGCCTCTGCCAGTGAGAACAGAGCTCCATTTTCATTGGCAGAGGGTTGCAGGAGGCTGTCACAGCTGAAAACGGAGCTCAGGAACCCATTTTCTCTGGCAAAGCGCTTGGGCTACCACAGGTGTCCCTGACACGAGTGACATCAAACTGGCCGCGGCCACCCTGACTATGCCCACTCTGCCCCCACGAGGTCAAACACAATTGTTCTGACCTAGGCTTCCTTAGAAAGTAAACAGCACAAACTTAATCCTGGCAAACCTCTTTAATTCAAACGGCTGTGAATTATTGTCATTCCCAGTCTGAAAGGCTTCTCAAACAGTCTATCAGGGAGTGTTTATAAACACTCACCTTATCTCCCTTGGAATTCTGCCAGAGAACTAATTGCCAAGTGCAGGGCAATTGCCAAACTTTGCAGAGTCAAACAGAGCTTTTCCAGAGCTTTTACCAACCAGAAGAACTAATTGCTTCCTGCAAAAGCTCATGTCCTGTTAACTTCTCTTTTATGTTTTATGGGGGGGGGGGGCAATCATCTCCAAGTCTTATTCCCAAGTTGACCCTGTTTTCTTAATTGTTCCTGTCTTCTGGCAGTTCTGTGCACACTGGGAACAGGCTGACGCTGTTCTTCTGCCTTGCTGATGTCAGACTCCAGAAAGTCTGGAGGCAGCAAGAACTACCAGATGGCTTTGGCCCCCTCTCTGCCTCTAACTCAGAGCCCTCATCCGAGCCTTCCCCAGATTCCAGGACTGGCCCATGTACCTTCCCAACCTCCTCACTGTCCGACTCTGCTGCCAGCTCTGCTGGCCGCTGGTGGGCCACAACAACAATCCTGATGAGGCCCTCAATGAAATTGAGTTTGACACCCTTGGTCTAAGCATTCAACATTTTCTCAGCGGAACTTTTCATTTATAAAACAACTTATTTTTCTCATAAATGCCACATAATTATTTATTCATAAGATATTTTGAAATGTATCCTTATTTCCAATAGTATCAAAATCCTGATATGGAAGGAATGGTGTACGACCTGAACAGCTATTTAGAGAAACGGGCGGATACAGTAGGGAACAGTCAACTGCTCTTGTATGAATTGAGCACCATCATTCAAATAGGTAGGAAAATATGTTTTATACTTGGAACTAGAATCTATGCATCAGTTTGTGGAAGTGTCAGTTCATAGAATATCATCACAAAGTTTCACCTATGGGGAAAACTATTAAAAGGCCTAGAGGGTATCATGGTCAATGGTACTGAAAATTACTAAGAGTTCCATGAGACCAAGGACCATTGCAGCATCCCCCATTCTGAGGAGTTTCCCTGTGGTGAGAGCCACTGCAGACTCTAGGGTCAACAGAAAATGATTTTTCCATGGCAGGGGACTGACGTTAATATCCCCCAAATCCAGATCATGATGTCACTGCCCCAAGGCAAACACCAGATCTACTAGCAAGCAATAGCACTTAGACTTATATACCACTTCATAGTGCTTTTACAGCCCTCTCTAAGTGGTTTACAGAGTCAGCATATTGCCCCCAACAATCTGGGTCCTCATTTTACCCACCTTGGAAGGATGGAAGGCTGAGTCAACCTTGACCCGGTGAGATTTGAACTGCTGAACTGCAGCTAGCAGTCAGCTGAAGTAGCTTGCAATACTGCACTCTAACCACTGCGCCACCTTGGCTCTTATCATGTGTGACTCTTGTGTGAGTTGGACCATGAATAAGTTGGACCAGGTTCATGGCTACCATGGTGTTCATGAACACCTGTCTGACTCAGATCCCAGGCCCAGAGATGGCAGCTTGAGCCTGGGGAATTCAGATACAGTGTCCAGGAACACAGGCAGGGATGCAGCTACACTGCAGGGAGGAGGTAAGTCAGCAACAATCCCCACTGATCCCTAAGGCCCAACCTCACAAAGAGGTTTCATGACTGGTGATATCTGGGACAGAAACTCATGAGTAAAAAACAGCCACACACCTATCTCTGCCCTGGTATTGTGGTTGATGCCACATTCATGATGCAAACCAGATCAGCTGTCTCACTCGCTATCAAATTGTAGATGAGGTGAGCTTTATTATAGATCACCCTTGCATTAAGTAGTAGCAGCTGGAAGCCAGAGCCAACAAAATCAGTTGGAAATCAGTTCCTGGAGTTGATCACAGGAGGCCCGAATGTGGTACTGGTATAAAAACGGATCTCCCTTCTTCTCCAAGAATGACTCTCCCACGTCTCCAGTTATATCTACCCATGCCCTTCACCATCACAATGTCGTCCTGTACCATTTCTCCTCTCTCCCTATTTGGATTCTTTCCCACCTCGTTTCCCATCCCCAAGGGATTGAGAACCAGCCACAACTATCCTAACCAACTTAGACAGACAGACTCTGCTTATGTTCTGGTGCCTCTGTAGCACATTTACTGCCTCCATTGAGCAATTTCTCCATCCCAGCACTGCACCCAAGCCCTCCTTCACACAACACTCCGGCACCCAGAGCCAAACTTTACTGGTTACTGTGAATGTTTTAATCTGTAATCATTTCCTCAGAATAATACAGGTAGTTTTCGACTTACAGCAGTTCATTTAGTGACTGTTTGAAGTCACAATGGCACTGAAAAAAGTGATTTAGGACTGTTTTCACACTTATGACTATTGCAGTGTCCCTATGGTCAAATTGAGACACTTGGCAATGGACTCATATTTATAATGTTTATGACCTTGTCCCATTGCTATCTTGTGACAAGCAAATTCAACAGGAAAGTCAGATTCACTTAACAACCATGTTAAGTAACTTAACAACTGCCATGCTTCACTTAACAATTATAGCAAGAAAGGTCGTAAAATAAGGCACAACTCACTTAGCAAATGTCCCACTTAGCAATATAAATTTTGGGTTGAATTATGGTCATAAGTTGAGGACTACTTGTATAATGTTTTACGGTATATTTATTGTGGATGTTTTATTATTTATAGTGTTATATGAATCATGAATGATTTTAATACTTTAAGCCATCATGGGTTGAATGGAATTGATGACATACAAGTTTATGAATCATTTGAATGAATAAAAAAGTTAATTGAATGAAAGATATTATTATATTATATTGTATTGTATAATCATAAACTTTTTTATTTTCTTAATTTGGTACAAGCTGCTACACAATCTAATAGACTAATTGGAGGAAGAGGATTTTGTTACAGACAGAATCACATAATAATGATAATTTGCTTGATTGGTGTAATGATAGCATTTAATAAATGCCACATATTATGTTATATTAAATTAGTTGCATCAATTTATATAAATTGTGTAATTATACAATTACATAAATTAATTGGGGCAAAGAATTGCATACAAAGTTCAATGCATCCAGTTTTACTAAACTAAGGTTTCACTGTAGTGAAAAAAGTGTATGTGTGAAAACATAAACTTAATTTTTGACATAATCAATAGTTAGTTTGCCTGTATCCTTTATATGTAGGAATCAGATGGTTTTAGATGTATTTCCTGTTTTTCCTTATCTTTCCATTTTAGACACCTTTCAGTATAGTACTGGTTATTAGATACTGTTGTTAAGGAATGGATGTTGTGCATTTATTCACTGAGTCTGTTTCCTGAGTGATTACATCAGAGTTAAGATTTCATTATTGATTATAGTAATGAGGTAACAATGACTTCTGGATCCAACGAAGCTGGAATTCAAAGCAGGAAATGAGCTGCTATTAACAGGAAGTAATGGAGTAAACATGTCTGGAGCAACAAATCTGATTGGAAAATATTTTTCTTAAGTTGCTCTAGCTCTAGCACTTCAAATCCACTTTTTTGGGTAGTACAGTATATATGACTTGTATTTTTCAGTTTCTAGTGAGTAAATTATTTAATCAGTAAAATATGTCATATCTATGTTACATATCTATGTTACATAGATTTGAACATTTATTTTGTTTATAACAGTAATTGTTTCTCTTTAACAAACTTTTTGTGTAATTCCATTGACTACTTATTGATATTTAAGCATTGATATTGATATTCCAATTTCATGGAATATAGGAATGCAGGATTTATTTTTTTGTTATTCAGTTCTTCATGTTTAATGCTTTATATAGTGGCTTAATATTTAAAATATATACTTGTGCTAATAGGAAAGTACTCTATTCAGAAATAGAACATACACCATTTTTAACTTTTTTAAATGATTGTTTTGGCAGCTACAAAGGCTGATGGGTTTGCACTGTATTTCCTGGGAGAATGCAATAATGTAAGTATAAATTTGGAAAACTGTAATTTATAGAAATAATCTTCTTTCCAGTGTTTTGTGTAATGTATTGCACAAAGTTTCAGAGAGGATAACTATTCTAGGCCACTTAGTTTCATAAATGTAGTTGCCAAATTAAACTATTGAAACAGTTTTCTTCTTTGTACACTTTTCCTCTGCAATGTTTTTTTTTTTTTAAATTTACCAAATTGTCATATTAAATCAATCTGTGTTGCAGATGGACCTTGTTGGAAACTTACTTCTAGCCCTGGATCTAAAAGCAGCATATGAATTTGTAAGCACTGAGATACAGTACTGATAGGTTATAGTTTATAGTCTAACAAATAGTGCGGCCTCTTTTAGCTCCTGTTATGCAAGATTTGGGCTAAATCATTCCCTGCTCAATGAGGAATCCAACTAAAGTATCTCCATCTCATGTTTTTTTAGCTTCTGCAGGAACATATCTTGAGAAGGAGATTCTCTGTTTCAGGGGTCTCCAGCCTTGGCAACTTTAAGACTCCCAGGGAGTTGAAGTCCACAAGTCTTAAAGTTGCCAAGGTTGGAGACCCCTACTCTGTTTGACTGAGTAGTTAGCTCCATTGCCAAACTGTTGTTGCTATAGAGCACTGCACACCAGAACAAATAGACACAAGAACAGTTTTATCCTAAATGCCATCACTCTGCTAAACAAATAATTCCCTCAACACTGTCAAATTTAAGTCTGCATTACTATTAATCTTCTCATCATTCCTGTCACCCATATCCTCCCACTTATGACTGTATGACTGTAATCTTGTTGCTGGTATCCTTACGATTTATATTGACTGTTTCCTAATATGATTTGATTGCTTATTTGTTCCCTATGACTATCATTAAGTGTTGTATCTTATGATTCTTGATGAATGTATCTTTTCTTTTATGTACACTGAGAGCGTATGCATCAAGACAAATTCCTTGTGTGTCCAATCACACTTGGCCAATAAAGAATTCTCTTCTCTTCTCTTCTCTTCTCTTCTCTTCTCTTCTCTTCTCTTCTCTTCTCTTCTCTTCTCTTCTCTTCTCTTCCATTCTGTTCTGAAGTTGTATTTAATATTTACTTGGAATCTGCTTTTCTATAAATTTAATTCTTCTCAAATTCTCTGTCCTCTACACTGGAGCAATAGAGATGGGTTCTATTCTTCTTTGAATGGCAGTCTTATACTTTTTTAATTTATTGAAACAAAAATGGGTATACTACGTATTTCATTACCATATTTTAGTAATGGACTAAAATGGGCACTATCAATAATACCCATTCATTTCATTTTCTTTTAAAATCCATTATTATCTATTTTATATGCTTATTGATTTTTAATATTGTACTTTTCTGCAATTTAAAAATTTGAAGAATTGTTGGTATATAACAACTGGCCCTCTTAGAATATTATAATTTAATCGGCATTATCTTTCACATTTGCAAATGTCATTAGATGCATATTCCTATAAAAAAGCTGAAGATAAGAAAGAAGACTATATGAATCTATGCCTCTTGTTTAGTTGACATGAGATCTTTATTCTGAAATAGATAATAAGGAAGACAAATGCATCTTCATGCTTTGGTTATATTCTGAAATAGATAATAAGGAAGCACAAATGCATCTTCATGCTTTGGTTATATTAGTTGACTTTTTGCACAAGACAGTGCCACCTAGAGATGTTTAGTATTTATAGGATAGAATTGCAAATAACAGGGATTGTTAATATTTCTGATAAAATCAAAAGAACTAAGTGGAATTTCATATGCCCAATATTGGGCATATTCTTTTGATTAGACCCCCCATTTACCCCTAAAAAAATCACTTCTCAGAGTCAAGGCCATCATTAGAATTTTGTACAATGATGGTTCCCATGTGAGGAAGAAAGTTCCAAAATTCCTTCAGACTGGGTTTCATGGACCCAGTCTGGTGATGCAAATCATCTTTGGATCAAGTTATACTCTGTTGTTTGCTAGAGCTTGCTTGGTATAAACTAAACATATCATTTGTTTTAGGTGAACTAAAATTCACTGCTTCTTACTTCAAGACACATAAGCATTCATGTATGATGCAAACTTTATCATAAGCCTTATTAACAGATATTACCAATATACAAGCTTAATATTAAGCTGGTATGACATTTTATTCATGAAAATACACACTATTAGACTATCAGGTTGGGCTCATACATAGTTCACTTATCTCAGGCATACAATCTACATCTTTTGGAGAAAAAGAGATACGTGTGCTGGGTCATATACAGAGCCAGCTTTTCCATAAGCCCTTTCTTTTTGCTGGATATAGAGAAGTTCTGAACCTTTTTGAAAAAGCAGAAGTTGTATGCCAAAATTAAGGAAAGGAGATGATGATTATTTTTTCTCAAAGGTCAGGAGGACCTGAATGTGGTAGTCACAATGATCTATGCTAAATAACCAGCAGGTTGCATTATGTATTTCTCTCCCAATTTTTGTAGAGAATCTAGCTTTGACTTTGAGAAGAAAGTAGGAGAGTGTTTCTCACATACATCAGAATCAAGAAAAGGATGTGGTGTAAGACAAAGATAGGTAGAGGAACAGTTTCCCTAAAGCAGATCCATATTATGTGGACACAGAGGACTTTGGGTAGAGGAGTTGGAGATTTCTGCTTTTCACCTCAGAAGCTCAGCTAGGCTTTCCCTACATAATGTCATGCTAATCAATATTGCAGGATCTAATCCAAGTTGTTCACCAGAGGTTTAGCCTTCTGAGCTTTCAGACTTATGCTGAAGCCCATCCTCCAGGAACTTCTCTCTCACCATACATTCTGACACATATATTTGCCTTCATAATCAATATTGCATTAAATTATCACTTTCCTGTCATGATTAATTACTTGTCATTTCACTAAAGCTATTTTATTTATATTGAACTATTTGGAACTCTCAGCATATTTCTGTTCAATACTTTTACATATTGGCAATGAAAGCTCTTTTCAATTATTCTTATAGACAAGCCTAGTAAATATAGAATTACATACATTATAAAACACTGTAAATTAATTGTGCATTACATGTGTTTAACCTATCTCCATAGACTAGAATATTTGAAATGTTTTGTTGCTTAAACTAAGAGTATTGGTGACAGAGGAAGTGAGGCAGCAAGCTTTTCTGAGAGAATACTCCATATTGGGTGATGCCACCAAGAAGATTACTCTTGGCCATTAGGCTTTGACCCACACTCATCATTAGGACTTACAAGCAAGATCTAATTTTTTTATTTCAAATATTAGGCCAGCACTTTACAACTGCCTTCAGTTGTACAACATAAAATTGATTTATAAATGGAATAAATGCTTGTAGAGTGGAATTCGGTAGATTGAATCAGCAGTGATTGAATCAGACTGAAATTCGGTAGGTTTGTAAGTAGGAATCCATAGGTTGGCATGTAGTTGCATATTGAAGCTCAGGTAATGAAGAAATCAGAAATGAGTTCTGGGGAAAATGTACATTCTGAAGAAATGTATAAATATAAATATGATTCAGGAATAATATTATTCAGTTAGGTGACAATATTGAATGGAGGTAATGAGACTGGAATGGTAGAAAATGAGAAGGAAAAATACAGGAAAAACTGAGTTAAGATTGAATCAGAATAGCAACTGTTGAGTATCTGCTTAGAAAAAAGTGTTCTTTAACACTAGGTTCATGAATCTACTCATGCATATATATGACAAAGAAATAATATAAATCTGAAATGCGTGCTTGATTTGTTTGCTCAAGATGAAATGCTGAGAAAAGTAGTGAAGGATATAAAGGGAATAAGAGATTATAAATACTGATCTTCCTACAGGTCTTAATTGAATACTCAACAGTGAAGTTTTGAAATTGATCAACACAAGTATTCATCACCCAAAGCATATTTGCTAGTGTTCAGGTGTTGATCTTCAATATTGTAGGGGAAGAACTTATCTGATTTGCAATGTCTGTGGTGATATAAATGAATTCAAATATTTGGGATTCCCCCCCTCCTTTCACATGAGGTTTAAAGAATTATCACTGGTAGCAACTCAAAAAGTACTGCTCCTATTGCAGTGTTTTGTAAATTCATAAAAATCAAGATCATTCAGGTGAAAGTGAACATAAACAAGCAACAAGCCAACCTTCTTAATTGTAAGAGCACTGTAAGACATTTAGACAAATGCACTTCCATATTTCATTTATTTATTGTATTTATTGACTTTGGGCCACTTCAATCACGAAGTGATCTTTGATAGTTTATACAGAGTAGGTAGTTTACAAAACATCAGGTAAATAACATCAAGTAAATAAAACCAAACAAACACTCAAAGAAAACAGGCGGCGGGGGGGGGGGAGAGAATAATAGTACAGGTAGTCCTTGACTTACTACCATTTGTTTAGCATCTATTTGAAGTTATAATGGCACTGGAAAAAAAGTGAGTTAGTGACTGGTCCTTGCACTTACTTCCATTGCACCATCCCCATGATCACATGATCAAAACCTCGGCACTTGGCAAATGGTATGTGCCATTTACAATGGTTACAGTGTCCTAGGGTCATGAGATCATTGTTTGTGATCTTCCCAACCAACCTCTGATAAGCAAAGCCAATGGGGGACACTGGATTTGCTTAAGAATTGCTTGATTCAGTTAACAACTACAGTGATTCACTTAACAGCCATGGCAAAAATCTTGTAAAATCAGGTGTGGCAGCTGCTTTGTGTAGCAATGGAAATTCTGATCCCTTAAGTCTAGGACTATCTGTACAAAGAGATTTCCTACTAGATTACTAATGTAGAGCAAGCCAATTTTTCCTATCTTAGAGCCTGAAAAAACCTTAAGTTTTTATTATGGAAGCTCTAAAAGTAAGTGGCGTGGTGGCCTAGTGGTAAAGATGCTCGCCTCCCACTCAGAAGGTTGAGAATTCAATCCTAGGTAGCAGAAGATGTTTCTCTCCTAGGGTGCAAAGAAAAAAATATCTATTGAGAACTCTGCTTGGCATCAGGAAGGGCATCTGGCCGGTAAACGCTCAGCTCCATCCAGTCGCCCAAAATTAAGGGATTACGAGGTCTAAAAAGGGAGTTATGGAAGCTCTAAAAGGTCAGGATCAGATGAGTCTCAGGGCATGCATAAGGGCACATGCTATTACTGAGAAGGTCCCACAAAGTGATAGTGCTTTGCTCTGACATTGTCAAGCAGAAGTCATAGAGACAGTTTGTCCCATAGGTAACTGGAATTCTTTTTGAGTGTACAGAATTCTATAAGGCTTGAGGTAGGTACAAGCTGTGAGCTTTCAGATGATCATTATGGCATATAGAATATTAATTATGAATTAGAAATCTATGTAATAATGGATTGATTCACATAGGCAGTCTTACTCTTCATCAGGCTGCAAGAGATCTACTTGAAACAAAACAAAAATTTTTGTCATATTTTTAGCAGCCTGAACATTGAACATGAGCTGTCAGATTTTGATTTCATATGTGTTTAATGATTTATTATGGAACAAATTAATTGGATTTTCTTTTTCCCCCTTTTGTTATTCAGAGTCTTTGCATGTTCACACCACCAAGAGTGAAGGATGGACAACCAGTACTTGTTCCTGTAGGACCAGTTAAATACGGCACCACAATATCTGCTCATGTAGCCAAATCTAAGAAAACACTATTAATAGAAGATATTTTGGGGGTAAATGGTTATCTTCCTTAAAAATAATTTAACAACTGCAATTAGGTCTGGTAATTCAGTTGTTAAGTGAATCGGTTGCTAAGTAAAATAGCAACTGTGCTCATGACCTGTACAGGCTTTCCTTTGCTTTACAGAGCTGTGAAGGTTGTACAGGTGAGAATTGATCACAAAATTACTTTTTCATAGTTGTCGTAACTGCAAATGGTCACTAAATAATGTAATCTCTTAACAATGGCTACCTGTATCCAAATTCCTCAGTTTACATTTGCATTTGCATTCTCAATCTCTCTGCCTTTAATTTTGCTGCAACTCCCATTTTCATAACTTGACTGAAAGTTTGGTAGCAAATGCTGTTTTATCAGCATGGGACTAAAGTGCATGCATTATTTGATAAATATGTATGCTGTATAACAAGACTATCATTCAGTGAATAAAATTATATAGATGTAAAAACTAAGGGCTACTGTCAGAAAAAGAAAGAGGAGAAATTCACTACAACCAATCAAGTCCATTGCAAACATGGTCACTTAGGGTGGTTTAGAAAATGTGATAAATAAATAAATACAAACAAACAAACAAACAAATACAAATAAATAAATAAAAGAGTTTCCCCCATTCTTTTTTATGTGTAAGAACAGTGCTGAAGAGAAGTCACTGACCAATGCAGATCATTTGATTTGAAGGGTCCATATATTTCTCTATGCATCTTATCAACATAATGTGCTTTCTGCCCTGGCCGTTAAAGCTTGATGGTGATGATGATTACAATTCTTTTGCCACAATTTAGCATCAAGTGTTTTACATTAAATTATAATTATTATAATTATTTACATTACATGCATATTTTTATTTTATTATTTTTTGTCATGTTTATGTAGTGTATATTGGAAGCGGTGACCCTTTGAGAGCTGTATGCAACGAAATTTCACTTTACTGTATGCTGATTAATGTACATTTAAAGTGACAATAAAGCAGGGCTGTCAAACTCATGGCCCATGGGCCGGATGTGCCATGCACTGGCCACACCCACACCCAGTTTAGCAAAGAGGAAAAAAGTCCCGATACATCATGTGGCGCCGCCATGATGACATGAGTTTGACAGCCTTGCAATAAAGTTATTCTAAGTTCTACTTTTCAGCATTGGACAGAATCTCTGGGAGAGAATCAGTGAATTTTTGCTTAAATATTTAGCTATCCAGTTATTAATAAAACTGTTTCATTATAAATGAACTAAATATTATATCATTAATATAAAACAGCACTTGCCTTTCTAGGATGAACGGTTTCCGAAAGGAACTGGGCTGGAATCAGGGACTCGTATCAAGTCTGTACTTTGTTTGCCAATTGTGACCGTGCTTGGAGATCTAATTGGTATCCTGGAGCTTTATCGAAAATGGGGTAATGAAACTTTCCATCTCAGTCACCAAGAGGTAAATCTTAAATGTAGCAGTGAGCATATTCATATATAATTCCATGCAGCTAACATGTAGTTCTGTGGCTGGAAATTATATTGAGGATATTCAATTGCTAAATGAGACTACCAAGATACATTAGATCAGGAGTAAAGTTTCATACACTGGCATGATGAGCCTAAGAAAATAGGTTGAACACCCTTCATTTGGTCATACAGTTGATATTGATCCTTAGCGCTTTTTGCACACACTACTTGGCTTTCTTTGCCAGTTGTATCAGTGTTGCAATCAGAAGAAACAGTTTTCCTGATGGCCATGCCAAGGTTATTAAATAGAAGCAAAGGGTCAGATAATGCCACATGCTGACTTGACCCACCACCAATTGAGATCCAGTTGTCTCCTTGCCTCAAATAATGTCGTAACGTGGCAGAATCTTACATGTGGCAGGGAGTGTTACCATTGTTCAGTTTGGTTATATTTCTTCCTCAGGGCAGATTTTATCAATGACCAGCCTTGCTTTCTCTTTAGACGTGGATGACTGCCCATTTCACTGTCAGGTGTATGTTTAATACATGAAAAAGCCAGAGAAAACCTCTTATGCCCAGCACAAAGACTTTGGGACTATGTGTTCTGTTACAGGATGACTCTGGCAGCACCATGGAATAGAAAAATGTAATATTCCATAAGGGAATTGTAGTGATATATTTGGTTCACTTCTGGATTCAGCCTGAAGAAGGAGCACAACCCTAATATCAGGGCACTGCACTTTTGTCCCTCTTCTATTTATTTATTTGATTTTTATCCCACCTTCATTATTTTTTTGTAAACAACTTAAGGCAACAAACATAACTAATACCCCTCCCTCTTCCTATTTTCCCCAGAACAACAACCCTATGAGTTGGGTTGAGCTGAGAGAGAATGACTGGCCCTATGTCTGCCAGCCGGCTTTATGCCTAAGGCAAGACTAGAACTCACGGTCTCCTGGTTTCTATCCTGATGTCAGGTTCTAAAAGCAAGAAAGACACGTGACTCTTCCAACCAGATTTTTTTTTTTAATGGTTGCACACCTATGGACAGAATCTTGCCAAACCAAAGCAAGTGATGCATATACTCTAGGAACAGTTAGGGAGGAGCTGTATTCACCTCTTTTCTCTCACACCAACTATCTGAACTGAGTTGTCTCTTGCTTCTCTAGAATGTATTCTCTCCCTCCTGGGAATCTGGACTACATTCCATCAATGATTCTTAATCATTACACCAAGCTGGCTTTAAGTATCCTCTTTATATCCTCTTTGCCATTTTACTTGTAGGTGTCTTTGCCAGATACATAGATGTATTGTATAATACAACCTGTATTATAGCAAGGCACAGAACAAGATGGGATTCCTTAGGAGAGCACTTCTTTATCCAATATCTCCCTCCCTTCTGTCCTACTTCTCACAATAATAATGGAATGTTGCATAGGATCTATTACAAAGCACTTATTTGTAATATTCCAAATAGTCAGAGTTTGGTGATGTGTGTCTTGGACTTGTAACAAGTTATAGGCATAGATAATACTATAGATCTTTTTTGGGATATTGTGGTGGTAGCATCTGAGTTGCATTTCAAATAAAATAGGAAGGGGTTAAACCAAGGGTTTTTTTTCTTTTTGTTTCCATATCATTTTTTTACTCTTGACTTTGGGTAACTTGGCATTTTATTTTATTTTATTGAATTTTTTTTAAAAAAACATAAACATAAAATACATCTTTTCAGAACGAAGCATTGATCCAGTCATAAATTTGTACAATTACTAACACCTTTTTAAGGGAAACTTTTTTCAAATCTCCACAAATTACCATAAAAATATTCAAATCATAATAATTGTTATCAATGTTTAAACAATTATTTTAACTGTTACTCCCAACATAGCATCTTCATTTTTGCTATTTATCCCAACATAACCATCTTATTTTAACTATTAATCCCAGCATAATCATCCTTATATTTACTATTATACCCAACATAATCATCTTTGTTTTTGCCGTTAATCTCAGCATAATCATTTTATTTTTACTGTTAAACCCAGCATAATCATCCTTATATTTACTGTTATATCCAGCATAATCATCTTTGTTTTTGCTGTTAATCCCAGCATAATCATTTTATTTTTACTGTTAAACCCAGCATAATCATCCTTATTTTTTTGCTGTTAAGTCCAGCATAATCATCTTTGTTTTTGATATTAATCCCAACATGATCATCTTAATTTCACTGTTAATCCCAGCATATTCATCTTTGTTTTCCCAACAATCTCTTTTTTGTTGCTTCAATCCATCTATACATTACTTATTCATATTTAATCACATTGTCATTGTCTTTTTTATAACAATTTAACATTGAGACATAAGTCTTATTTCAAATACATCCTTATATGCATTAATAAATTTCTTTTAACATAATCTATTTCTCATATATTCTAGCTTCCATTTTTTCAATTTTAAATATTTATTTATTCCTCTCATATTTCTATTAATCCTTATTAATCCCCATATAGTTATGTTATAAATCAAAATCCTTTGTTATTTGCAATATCATCTATAAACACCTCCTTTTTATTATTACTATTCGCCTATATTTTGCTTAATCATTTTTAACAACATTGTTTTTATCTTCTTTATTTCCAGTTGCGTATGTCTTGTTTCTTCATTTTCTTGTCTGCAGGCATATATTTCCTTTCTGTTTCAGTATTCTCTACTTTTGTCCTCCATAAGTCATTTTAATTCTTTTTTTTTTTTGCTTCTGTTCCAAGCAATATAAATCAACTTGTTCCTTCTCTAATTCCTGCACCAGTTTATTCTTTTTAAATTAATATTTATACCAATTTCAAAAGTTCCATTATAATTCCCCCTTCTTTTCATCAAAGTCAAGCCGCCTGTAGACAAAAAAGCTATCCTCCGCCAATTCCTATGATGATTATCTGTAGAGTTCACAATTTTTCAAAACAAAAAGCAAGTTACAGTGTTCCTTTTTAAACCAGAAAGTGTCTCTTTGCAATCCACAATTTCCCTTAGTCACGCAAGTATCCATTTTGTTTCAATTGTATAACAGTCCTTCTTGATTAGTCTTCTCCTTTTCAACTTTAAAAATATCAAATCTTCTCTTCTTCTTCTTTTTTATTAAAATTCAGTTCAAATTTAAAACTCTGTCCAATCTTTTAACCATGTCTCTGTGTTTAACTTTTCCAATTAATCCTATTCAAAATTCAGTTTTTGTTGGGTCTTTGTCTCTTTAAAAGTTGCATTTCAAAGTCTTCTAAGCCCCCGTATTCCTTAGCCACTGTTCTATAGCTAGGAGTCTTATAGTTTAAAGAATGTTGCTCTAAACGTTGTTACAAGCCTCAGATGGTTGTCACTCACTGGCTTCAAAGAGCTCCATTCCATTCCACTCTCCTCCAGCACTTCTCTTAATCCGATTGTCCCAGCTTCGTCACCGCCAACTCACAGAGAGTTCCCTCCGACCTCCGAGGAACTTGCCTGTTCCTCTTGGTCGTCCGAGGTGCCTCTCTTTCTACCCTGTCCCTGCAGGATGGTTCCAGTCCGAAGACCCATCGGTGGTGGTTCAGCAGCCAGGGTTTTCGCGGGACTCATCAGAGCCCGCTATTTCCCCGACTGTCTCGCCTTGATGCCAAACCGGAAGTCCCCTGTACCCTGATTCAGTAACTTGGCATTTTAGAGGCGGTGTATATGGGCTCCCCATGGACACTAATATGATTAAGTACTGCTATCTTTCCATAAAGACTATGAGGTGGGAGCAGCTATTATCTTGTATTAAATGATCAACTATATTAAATAAAAGCATTTCATTTACATTTCCAACCCTACTACAGGCATTGCCTGTTTTGAATCTGGAACACTTTTGTTACAGGTAGAAGAGAATCAGAATATTTTCAGAAACATGTAAGGCGGGAGTGCGCAACTCTGGTCCCTGTATGACCTGTGGACTTCAATTTACAGAATTTATGAGTCAGCCATTGGTCATAAAAGGGCCATAGTTCCCCACCCATGTTGTAGGGAATATTTTAGACAAGATGGCTCCCAAAGGTTTTGCACACTTCGATAGTCTTTTATATAATAATATTTTAACATTATTGTTTTAATTCATGTTCTTATTTTAATTTTCTGCTAGATAACTTGAGTAGTGTATTTATCAAATAGATAATAAAAATGTAACATTTAATGGAAAAATAAATAACATAAATAATGTAACGCAGTTACCTAGATGTCATTTAAACTAGTAAACCTTTTTACTAAGTGCATACCCTTCATTATTGCTTTCATAACCCAAATATGGGTAAACGTTGCTAGAATTTTCAAAACACAAATGTTGTTGTCTTCCAAGTAAACAAAAGTTTGTGGTTTTTTTCAGGTTGCAGTAGCAAACCTTGCGTGGGTTTCAGTAGCAATGCATCAAATAGAGGTAAGTCTCTGGATTAAATGTTAATTTTCCTAAAAAGAATAACTTAATATTATTAGTTTGTGCTGTAGTATTTGGATATTGCAAAAAAAAAAAAAAAGATGGACATTAAGCTGAAGGTCTTTTATTCCTAATAACACCTTCTAATTTGAGATCAGTCCAGATCAGGTTTGCATTTTGAGCTAATACTCCACTTTTCTGGAAAAAAAGAAGGCAGGGAGTAGTTTTCAAGTCAGTGTCATTTTCCAAATGTATAATTAAAGTTATTAGCATACATATGTCCACAATTAACCTCAAATTGAAGTATGACATATGTGAGGCTTGAATTTTATATATGTATTTCCTTGCTTTATTTCTTCTTAGCAAATCCTAGACAGGTAATAGCTATGTTTGTAGATTCATTCTGATTCTGTCCTTCTGCTTAAATAAGCAATAGTGTTCCCAACATTTGCATCAGGTATCCAAGGGTTTGGCCAAACAGACTGAACTGAATGACTTCCTGCTTGACGTATCAAAGTAAGTGACATGAAAGTGAGTCTCTACAGCCATATTATGATTATTTTTAAATAATTAGTATAGATATATTTATTGTGGTTTATTCATTGCTCTGGAAATTGGTTTAAGGGTATTCACTGTGCAGTTTCATATGATATGAATAAGGAGAGGTTATTACAGGTAGTCTTCATTTAGTGACTGCCTCATATAATGACTGTTCATAGTTATGATGATGTTGAAAAAGTAATTTTGCAACCAATCCTCGCATTTCCAACATTTGCAGGTCTGTAAAGCAAAGGAAAGCTAAAACAATATCATAAACACAGCCATGGCTTCACATAGCATTGATTAATGATCAATGCCAATTTGAATAATAATTGCCAATTTGAATTATGGTCCGTAAATGAGAACCACCTATATACTCATAAATTATAACTAGGAACAGGTCCATATGATCATTATTTTATAATAGGCAATATTATTTCCACTCAAATAATATTCTATAATACAGTCTACAATAAAGCTGTAACCTTGACACAGGTGAGGGAGGAGAGGGGACAGGACAGGATGGGAATAGAGGGTTAGGGTGCGACACTATATCACATTTCTCTTTAGAGTTCTGCAGCCACTAGTAAATTGCAAGATGCAGCAGCCAAAAGAAAGGAAGAAGGTGCTTTTCCTTCAGAGGACATGGACAGCCCAGATAAGAACCAAGTCCCAGCAAGCTGAAACACAACCTGAAAAGGTGCAAGTGTTCTACAAATGGGCCATTAACAGAGGGTGGAAAAAATAGATAGAATTGCAGAGAGAAGAAAAAAGACTGAATAGGTTTTGTAAGAAGAAAACTCTGATATATATATAGTCAATTACATAGTCAATACATAGTCAATTACATAGTAATAGTTACTGTAATAGTATAATATAGAGGAAATATTGTAATATTAATTGTAAAAATATACGATAGGGATTAGAGGAAGTGGCCCATGCATGCACATGTATGCTTGCGTGTGCACATACACACGCAGAGAGAGAGAAATCTTACTGAACATCACCTTTATAGAATATGTTTGGTTTTCAAAATAAAAAGTCCCCCCACTTACGTTATTGTTAGTTGTGAAGTCGTGTCCGACCCATCGCGACCCCATGGACAACGTTCCTCCAGGCCTTCCTGTCCTCTACCATCCTCTGGAGTCCATTTAAGCTCACACCTACTGCTTCAGAGATTCCATCCAGCCACCTCATTCTCTGTGTCCCCTTCTTCTTTTGCCCTCAATCTTTCCCAGCATTAGGCTCTTCTCCATTGAGTCCTTCCTTCTCATTAGTTGGCCAAAGTATTTGAGTTTCATCTTCAGGATCTGGCCTTCTAAAGAGCAGTCAGGGTTGATCTAAGAAACCACTTGGTCCAGGATTCAATGCTTTGTGTCTTTCTTGAATCTAATTTGGTATGATTTAAAAAAGAACCCATGACACAGACACCATTCCAAACAGATATTCTAGATCAAGAAAGTTTATGTATTAATTCCATACACCCCCAAATCTGTATTTGGGTTGACAGATCTACATTTGTTTTATTTAGGATTTTTTCCCCCTGCATCCAGTATCATCTGACAATGATGTCAGATATTGATTTAAAACCTGACCAAATTTCTTGAGTAGGAAATGAATAGAATTTAGGAAATAGGAAATAAATAGGAATAGGAAATAGGAAATAAACTGATAATTTAGGGACAGTCTCTCCTGAGCCCCTTGTCAACCATACAGCTATGGACTATGGTCCCTTTTATCTGATTGTTCCCTAGGCGGCATCTCTTTCCCGGTCTCCCAAGGTCATTCCCACAAGCCATTACAGCAAGCCACCGGATCACCTGGATAACCTCTGTAAGGAATATTCTAGGCATCTGCTGATAAAATTGCACTCAAAGTTGGACAAGTGCTGTCAAGGTGATGGAACTTTAATCAGTTCCTTGGGAGAAATCCCAAATTCCCATTGGAAACTCATAGGGATTAGTAGTTGCTTTGGTGTACCAATCTTTGGTGTATTATATATGATTCATACTCCTTTCATTGTTAGAGAAAACTTTTGGAGCCCAGTACCTAGAAAATTAGATCAGTAAGAAAACTTATAATGTAAGCTTTCTGAAATAGGTAAAAGAAATCTTTTAAATTGGTACATTTAAAACAATCTAGATCATGATAAAGTTTGAAAAGAATTTCATTGCAATAAGAAATTTGGTTTTCTCCCTTCTTCTACAGAACCTACTTTGATAACATAGTTGCAATAGATTCTCTACTTGAAAATATAATGGTAAGGAACTTTTACTTAAATTTCAGTATTATTCAGGTCACAGAATCTTTGAAATGCGGTATACAAAAGTTATGTTATTGTTATTTCTGACCTATATATGTCTCTCCTTCATTCAGCAATTATGCTTTCAGAATTTAAAGTTTTAACAAACAATATAAAACATATATACAAGTTTTCAAAGTGGGAAGAGCAGCTAGGTAATTTTTAATAATGTGATTATGGATCTGATATTTAACCTTTGATGTAATGTTACCTGGAAAAAATGATAGTGCTATAAATAACGGTAGAGATAGCATGGTGGGATTCAAAGCAAAATAACATTTGTCTCTAAAATTATTTCATATGCTTCAAAATGAATCTGAGACACTTTAGGAGTAACTTACTCTATAACAACAAGCACTTGCCAACAGTAGCTTGGAACAAATGTGAGCAGAGCTACTTTCATGAATTCTTCCTGTCTCAGAAAAAAGTGTTTTTGCAAATTCTTCCCTTCCTTAGTAAACCTTGTCCCACCAGTAGATAAACTCTAGCAAGTTGGAGGTCTCTTTAGAACTTCACAGAGATGGGATCGGAGGAAAGGAGAATTAACAAAACATGAAGAGGAGCTTTTGATTATTAAATGTTTATAACATTTATATCCTGCCATTTACTTAAATAAACTCTCAGCAGGAGACAACATTAAAAACAAACAAAACTTTAATATGTGATGTAAAATTAGTATTAAATTCAATAATTAAAAGTCTAGCAACAATAATGTGTCTCTAGAGCTCTTTAAATGCTTAAATGGTAGAGACTCAAACTTACATGTTGAACTGAACCTTTTATTTATTCTCTTAATAGTAACTTTATATATGTAACTTGCTTGACTATTTGTTTAAGTACATTATATAAAAACAGTGATAAATTACTTTCTTTCAGCTTGCTTTTTCATTATATAAATAGTGTATATGTCATTGGGAAAGAAATGTAATTTGAGCTAAATATATCTTTTTATTGGCACCATGCTTTTGGCAAAAAAGATTATCAGTATTATAATCTGTATTATATATAAAAATACAAATATTGTTTAAATATCCTTCTGTTTCAAATCATTATATTATTTACTAGTGGTATAATGCAGTGACTTTTTATCACAAGGAAAAAAATAGTTTGCATTTGCCATTTGAATCATCAAATATTTTAGTTAGATTAAAATTCACAACATCTGAAGTTTTTATGTACCATATTTGTGAAGATTGAGAGGTTTTAGAACCTCATCTTCCACGATTATAGACTTGTAAAGCCTGATCTTGGAGAAAATAGTTTAATCCAAGTTAGTAAGTCTCTCAACATGAAATCACAGGTAAGTAGAACATGTCTACAGTATATAACCAGCTACCTAGCTCCATAAACAAGACAGAAATTGTATATGTTTTGAGGTTAATTACTCTTAGTATATAAGACAATTTTGGTCTTGTCCCATGCCCACTTTGGTTAATCCAGCTTTGCTCTTTGTAGATATATGCAAAAAACCTGGTGAATGCAGACCGCTGTGCACTCTTCCAGGTAGATCAGAAGAACAATGAGTTGTATTCAGACTTGTTTGATATTGGAGAAGTACATGAAGGGAAGCCTGTCTTCAGGAAGACCAAAGAAATAAGGTAAGAAGAGTAGTCTGTTTTTACACGTTTCATACTTTAATTCAACTTCTGTCTGTATTTACAGATTCTGTTACAGTTTTCATCATCCTTATGATTTCATTCTCATTGAAGTTAGTGGAGGATTTGTAAGCACCTAGAAATGAACAAGGTGATTAATAGAAGCCAGCATTGGTTTGTTAAAACAGATCATATCAGACAACCTTGTTGCCTTCTTTGATAAAGACCAGCGAAATGCTATGGACATAGTATACTTGGACTTCAGTAAGGCATTTGACAAAGTAGACCACATCAGACTTCTTGATAAGATAAATAAATGTGGGATAGACAGTACAACCACCAAATGGATTCATAATTGGCTGATCAAGAAATTTTCTGACAATGAGAACAATTATTTATTTATTTATTTATTTATTTATTTATTTATTGCGATTTATATGCCGCCTTTCTCCCTTGGGACTCAAGGCAGCTTACAAAATGACAACTTCAATACAAATCACAATACAATACAAAGTTAAAATCAGTAACCCAATTAAAAAACAATTTAAAATTATACCAGTGTACCCCTGAATTAATCACTGAAATAGTCCCCCCCCCCCGGAGTTGTGGATGGTCCATCATTGGAGTTTTTCAAAAATGGACAATGATTTTACTGGGATGGTATAAGGTTTCTTGTCTTGAGTAGGGGGTTAGAAGACCTCTGAGGTACCCTCCAGCCCTATGATTCTATGTTCTGTCAATTTAAAGAATATCTATCTGCATTTCCAGAGACTTTAGGAATTTAGATGGAGATGGGAAATAGTTGTTTAGTAATAGAGATTGGTTCTGTGATTGAAAAAGCAATTTCTTAGCATTATGTACTATAATATTACTGGTGGCATAGAAAACCATTTCCCCCATTCTCTGAATAAGCAATGCATTTTTCATAATTTCCTCCTTAATTTCATAACATGGAACCATCTTCCACCTACTATTAATCTTCTCATCTTCTCATCGTTCCCATCACCCATCTCCTCCCACTTATGACTGTATGACTGTAACCTTGTTGCTGGTATCCTTACGATTTATATTTATATTGTTTCCTGATTGCTAATCTGTAACTATGACTATCAATAAGTGTTGTACCTTATGATTCTTGATTAACATATCTTTTATTTTATGTACACTGAGAGCGTATGCACCAAGACAAATTCCTTGTGTGTCCAATCACACTTGGCCAATACAAATTCTATTCTATTCTATTCTGTTCTATTCTATTCTATTCTATTCTATTCTATTCTATTCTATTCTATTCTATTCTATTCTATTCTATTCTATTCAAATATAGCCTATTTTTTTAGTGATTCCAAAGTCTTTCTTGAAAAACCTGGTATTATTTTTTGAAATTCCTCTTGTTTAAGACTCGGTTCAGAGGGGCTAAAACCAGAGGAGAGCAAACCCTTTGTATTTTCCAAGGGGATCAAATTAATGGTACATTTTTGAGACACCCCCCCTTTTAAATGCTACATGGAAAATGTGTATTGACCGTGTCAATCCTCTTAGGAATCCTAGGGGCTTATTTAAGGCTTTCCACTCCAGAGTCTAGGCAAAAGTGATATCCCTACCTACTGTTTTAACAAAATACAGACTTTTAATCTAAATATAATCTGTGGAATCTATTCAGGGAGAAGAAAACCTATTGGGTTCCCATGTGAGTATTTGGTCATTTCACAAGGCGTTACAAATTTAGCATAACATCATTATGCAGAATATTTTCCAGGAAATCTTTCGGGAATGAGGTGACTCATGAGGGCACCTGACTCAGGGAAAACAGTATTCTTAAAATATCTTCATTAATATAAAAGTACTTTGGGAGCAGATCCTGCTCAGTGAGATGTTAATGATATTGTTGCTTAGCTCTTAACTTTATTAATTTGTGTATAGGATAACTCACCTCTTAGGAAATAGCTCTAACTTTGCCTTTTGTCCCAGTTTGTGAAATACTATCTAGTGATGAATGACATTCATCAGTTACAAGTGTTACTGTTTCATATCAGCATATTGCTTTAATAGGATGTATCTCTTTACATATATGCAGATTTTCTATTGAAAAAGGAATAGCTGGTCAGGTAGCAAGAACTGGTGAAGTCCTCAACATACCTGATGCCTATGCAGATCCACGTTTTAACAGGTAGGAATTCATTAGGCTTTCAGCACACATTTTTGATGCATTTTTATGCATTTAATTTTTAAAATGATTGTAGTTCTTTAAGTAAGACAAATTCTCTTCTCTCTCAGAGACATTTCTTAGTTTTGGGATGGTATCTCAAGTTAAACATGCTCTGACATGCTGATGTTTACAAAGTCTCAGTGGCATAAATGTCTATGGAGATTCTCAATCATCCAGGTCATGATTGTCCCAATGGGGCTTTTCAAAAGGCAAATGGACCTTCTTGGTTTTTCCTTGAAAATATTTTGCTTCTCATGCAAGAAGCTACTTCAGTTCTCATTCTCAAAAGCGAAAAAGTTTCTTGGATGAGAAGTGAAATGTTTTCAAGAAAAAACAACAAGGCAATCCAGTTGTCTTTTGGAAAGCACCTTTGTGGCTCTGTGGCATAGATATATAGTTTTGTTCTGTTCCAGGCCAGGGACTAAAAGGATGCTTGCTCTAGGAGAGCAAATCAGCCATTTCTCTTCAAGAAACTTTTTTTAAAAATCCAGCCAATGTATTTGTAGTGCCATCCCAAGGTTAAGGAATGTCTTCTATACAGAACAGAAATTTATGATAAGAATGTTTCTGCTATTTCCAGTGTATCCAGTTTCCAGAAGAAATGTGGCTCAAACCAGGACTAACAATTCTTAAAGATAGGTTTTTTTTTTTGTCTGATAGCAATGTTTATAGCTTTCTCCCCTCATAGGTGTGAGCGCATTCAGTTCTGGAAATGTCCCGTCTATAGGATTAGATGGAAAAGGCTAACAAGGGCTACCTTTGGAAGCAAGCTTTCTTCTTAGACACCCTGAGTTTTCCTTCCCTTAATCAAGGGAAAAAAGTTTGGAGCTCTTGAAAGAAGATGAGGGAAATACATTAAAAGAAAGAGCATGTGTGCAAACCAGAAGTAAAAAAAAAAAAAAAAAGTAAGTGGAGAGAAACATTTTAACATTCATATGTAACCACCATAATTTCTGTTCCATTTTTCATGCTGTGGAGCATTATTGATTTGGCCATTTCATCTCTCCCCTAATGTTGGGAAATGCTGGATTTGAATTCAACTGGCCAAGAGTCTTAAGTTCCTACAAAACATTTCACCTTGTCTTCTCTTGTCCTTCAGTTTGGAGGCCCACACAAGTAAAAAATTATGTGTGTTTTTGTGTCAGAGGAAGCACTTCTTGAACAGAATCCTTCTTTAAATATTTAATGAAGAGTTCATTCGTATCAACAATTGAGATTGTAGACACATGGAGCAGCATTGATAGTGATCTAGAAGGCAGGAGAACATTCTTTTTACCCCACCTCAGGCATTAAAGGAATAATAGAAAGAAAAAAGACATAGTTTTTCCCCACAGAATTCCTCTTTATTTGGTTATTGTATTATTTCCCTTCAGAATCAACATTCTGTTATTTCTAGAGATTTAAGAACCAGACACCAAGTCTTAATCATTCTGCAACAAAATGCTCTTCTTATGCTTCTGAACTGTGCTTAATCATTGTGTCGAAGTTTTGAGCATTGCAGTGTAGCATTGATAGCAATGCCAGGTTCAAAAATATCTATGTGAATAACACCATCTATGTCCCAAAAACTGTAACCATAGATTTTTACTTACCAAATCTGAGTTTTGAATTTTTGAAAGTGAAACTTTGTGATGATATTTCATGGACTGATCCTTCATTTCTGAATCATAACAATAAGACTATGTTTTGTTAGCTTGCCACAATGCTATGAAGAAATTCCTCACCTAAATTCTGATGACAATTGGTGGCAAATTTCAACTCTTAAGCTTTTATCTCTTCCATCAGCATGTGAGGAACACAGTTTGCAGAAACCTTCAGATATCAAAGAATGTCAATAATACAGATCTCAGATGCTGATGAACATCAATAATGTGACTCATAGCTTGACAGAAATTTCCCTTTCAGTGATCTGCCACTTGCCTTCCATCAGTTCATCAACAGTAGTCTTGTCTTTTTTTACATAGAACATCTCTGAAAAAGGGATTCTATATAGAAGGGACTCAAACTCTAACCCAAACTTTTAAACTAATCTGCTCTCATTTTCCTCTGGAACCCTGAAAAACAAATCGTCTACAGTCATTGTTCTTTGGGAATTAGAATACAGAATATTTTATCCACTTCTAGAGGAAATCATGGCTTATTCCTTCAGATATCTTGAAGGTAGTTAAACAAGTGATGTATTATCCTGTTGTTGTTGTTGTTGTTTTTGACATCCCTGAGGTGAATGTCCTCATGCTTATAAGGGGAGAAAAGGAAATTCGTATGTACTGAATTTCAGTTCTTCTCATAGGCAGGAAATCATTTTGCCCAACCTGTGAGACAATCCTGATCCTCTCTAACCATTGATACTATTGATCAAGATGGCCAGTTCTTCTATTTTAGCAAGCAACTTGTTTTTTTTTTATTTTGTGGATTTGCCTATTATAATCTCCTACCTTGGCATTATCTTGGAGATCTAAAGAAGTCCTACCTCCTTAGGAAATGCTTCCTAGCCTTGCCTATTCAGCATCAGAGGCTGGACTTTTTCTGAACTAAATGCCCTCTCACAAGAGCAACATTTCCAGGTAAGATTTTCTTTTTTCCAACACTGGATATAAAATTGGAACCCTGATCAAAGTTAGAGAGCATATTTACCTAAGAACAGGAAGTGTTCATAGATATCATTTTAAGACATAGATTGTTTTAAAAAAGCAGCTGTTTCCTTTAATGTGAATAATCTCCAGCTACCAACTAAAAATAAAATATATTTATAGTTTTGCATTAAAACTGATGCATGTTTGCTGAAGATTGTTTTCTTTATGAATTAATATGGGAATTATATTGTCCCTTTAAAGTATTGTTACCAGGAGAATGAATGCTAATTATTTGATTTTTGAAAAGCTCATACATTTGTAAATGAAAAACATATTCATAATATACAGCTAATGAGGTGGTTAAATCATAGGCTTTGAAATCTTTGAGGTATACTACATTTAACTTCTGCCTAAGTTTGCCAATTTGTCATATGTATGTTACATGTCTAATAGATTCATAAAACTGCACAAAATGTAGTTTCTCATTAGGATAAACCACTTATTTACACCTCTGCTTTGGCTTAATGAGTTATATTATTATTTTTCCCAAAAATTTCCGCATCCCTAAGTGCCAGAGACAACTTAATATGTATATCCTATACACTATTGGAATTATTTATTAATTGGAAAATTTCTGTGGTGAAGTATACATTAGGATGTTTCTGGATCAAATCAAAGCTGATAATAAAGTCAGAGTGACTTTAGATATTGTCTGTGCTTTAATCCTGTTTGAAGTATAGAAATAATGCTGTTGACTTTGCAAAATTGTTGTGTGTATTTTAACAAATCAATGTATATGAAATAGTTTGAATAGGAACAGAGGAATCCTAACATTCATGTGTTATGAAATGGTGGGGTTACTTTTTTTGTTTCCTTCACACATGTTTTTTTTTTCCAATTATCTTTACTTTCCTACAACAAGGAAAATATTGCTTCTATGGGCCAGCCTCCTTTACTGACTTTCCAAGAGATATTATGGTGAAAAGTAAGGAGTGGGGTGTTAGATCCACTAGAGTAGCAACTGGTGATAAAGATTTATACTGGCCTCCAAGACCTGGTGGCCTAGAGGTGGAGCTCTTGCCTCACAATCAGGAGGTTGTGAGTTTGATCCTAGGTAGAGGCAGATGTAAGGTCTCCTGCTTGGGCAGGTGGTTGGACTCGATGACCTGCAAGGTCCCTTCAAACTCTGTTAATCTGTTAAAATCTAAGGACAGCCTTTCTTTTGTGAAGGAAGGTTGACTGCACATACACATCTATGTGACTTCCCAAGGGGTCATTGGATTACTTGCTAAAAAATGTTCAATACTATTGTTAATAAAATGAATGCATTACCATGAAATGAATGACTGGTTTTTCTTTTCTTATTCTTTTCTCTCTTTCTATTTTCTAGGGAGGTAGATCTCTACACAGGCTACACAACAAGGAACATTTTATGCATGCCTATTGTGAGTCGAGGAAGTGTCATAGGTGTTGTGCAGATGGTGAACAAACTAACTGGAAGTGCCTTTTCTAAAACTGACGAGAACAATTTTAAAATGTTTGCAGTCTTTTGTGCTTTGGCATTACACTGTGCTAATGTAAGTTTTGTTCTAGAAAAATAACAAGATGAACCAAAATAACATTATTTTTAATATAATATATTGACCGCTAATAATTGGGTGATTACAAGTACTAAACTGATTCTGATATTGTGGGATTGTTTGTATTAAGTTCTTGATTTAAAATATTTAAACATTTTTATTTCTTTGTTGAGGATAATGATGATGATGTGCCAATGAGATAGTGTTGACTCTTAGTTATCAAACAATTTTCTCCAGGATGATTTACTTCAAACTTAGTTATTCAGGTCTTCCATCATTGCTTTAATAGAGTCCATCATCTTGCTGCTTATCATTCTCTTCTCTTTCCTTCCATCTCTTAACCATTATAGACTTCTATGGGGAGTTAGGTTTTCACATAAAGTACACAAAGTATGATAATTTGATTTTGATTATTTGTGCCTCAAGTGGAAACTCTGGGTTTATTTTTTTCAATTACCCATTTGTTTGTTTATTTTTGGTTATCCATAGTTTTTTCAGGAGTTTTCTCTAAAAGCAAAGTTCATAAACAACAATCCTCTTTATATCCTACATTTTCCAAGTCCAACTTTCACATTGTGAAAGTGTCACACAGAAAAGCCCAATTCTGATCTTTGTAGGGGAAGACATTCCAGCATCTTAATATCTTTTCCAAGGCCTTCATAACTACCCTACTAAGTGTTGGTGTACAGGTGGTCCTTGACGTATGACACAATTGAGCCCAAAATTTCTGTTGATAAGTGAGACTGTTGTTAAGTCAGTTTTGTCCCATTTTATGACTTTTCTTGCCACAGTTGATGAGTGAATCACTGCAGTTAAGTTAGTAACACCGTTGTTAAGTGAATCTATCTTCCCCATTGACTTTGTTTGTCAGAAGGTTGCAAAAGGTGATCACATGACCCCAGGACACTGCAATCGTCATAAATATGAGTCAATTGCCAAACATCTGAATTTTTATCATATGACCCTGGGGATGTTGCAACAGTTGTAAGTGTGAAAAATGGTCATAAGTCACTTTTTTCAGTGCATTGTAATTTCAAATGATCACAAAACAAAGTTGTTAGTCAAGGGCTATCTGTACAGAATAATAGAATTACAGAGTTGGAAAGGACTTTGGAGGTCTTCTAGTCCAACCTTCTGCTCAAGCAGAATGCTGATCTAATGTTATCTTCTAGTATTACAGATTCTTATAATTTGGGAATATCTCCAGTATCTTCTTGGATTTTAACTTAATGTCAGGATGCACCTTTCATCTTTGTCTGATCTTCTTCAGTTACTATCTGCACATTCACATCCTTTTGCATATCAATTAAGGTTGGAATCTCTTTGTAAAGTTCCTTTCTCAGATGTTTGCCTTCCTTGGCTATGATTTCTTTTTGGCAATTTCCACCATTTGGTCTAACATCCAGTTTGCTTTCTTTTATTTCTTGGTTTTCCCTTTCATAATGTTTCTTAGCAACATTTTGATTTTATTTCACAAGTACACCCCTATCTTTTTAAAAAAAATTTTTTTATTTTGTATACAGATAATACAAACATAATACAAAAATCTAAATACAAAAAAGAGGGAAAATACAAATATATCTGTGCACACACACACCCACACCCTGAAGACCATTTTCCTCCTTATATTTCTTCTTCTATAATAACTAAAAGATATAGAATATATTCAAAAGTACACCCCTATTAATGAGATCCTTGTACCAATAATATAGTCAATTTGATTTCTGTGTACTCCATCTGGTAATGTTTTGGTTGCTGGAAGACTGTGTTATAACAACTAGAAATTAAGAAATCATCAGATTAACAGAAATTGGTAAATCATATCCTACTTCATTTCAGGTTTCTAGGCCATAATTTTCTCTTCTATATTTCCAATTTTGATGCTGCAGTCTTCAATCACAAACAAACACATCCTGCTTTCATATTCTGTTGGTTTTAGATTGACTTTAACTATAAAAACTAACAACCTTTTCTTCTTTGGCATTGGTGGTTGGAGCATAACCTTGGATAATTATTATATTAAGGGGTTGCCCATAAAGTCTAATTAATATTATTTGGTTATTGATTGCATTATAGCCAAGTATTGTTCCTAATGTGTCCTTCCAATGCTCTACCCTTTTTATGCTATATACTTCCTATAAAAGCAGTGCCATTCCTTCTTTGATATTGTGTATTGAATGATGAACAGTATGAACTTCTGACTGAATGGATCCAATTTATGTCCACTTCAATTTGGTGATGCCTAGTATGTCAAGGAGTTGTTGGTTCATTTCATCTTTCACTGTGTTGACCTTTTCCATTGTTCATGCTTCTTGCATTCCATGAATCCATTATAATTTTGTTTTACAATTTCAGATTTTCTTTTCTTTCATGGTAACATCAAGTACTAGGCTCCCAAAAGCTTTAATCTAACCATGTCATAATCATGAAATATTCACAGCTCTTTCTCAGTAACATGTTGAATATTGTCCAACCAGAGAGGCCTATCTACTAACACTACATCTTCAGTCACTTTATATTTTCTATTCATGTGACTTTACTGGGAGAATAATGGAGTGGTTTACACTGCCTTTTCTTATGCAGTATGAAATGGTCCATTGACAATTCTCATTAAGTATCATCCACTTCCAGCATCTTCCTATATTGCAGATCTGGGCAATTCGGATGACCGTGCTGGAATTATATACTTTTGGTAGATACTCCTGGGATTGTTTAGTCATCCCTGCTAGGAACATGTCCCCACCATGATGAAGCAGCCCAGCAGACTGTGAAAGGGAAGAAAAACAAAACAAATTATTTTCTGTTAAATTATGTCTGATTGCTCTTCAGAAATGGCATGTTTGGATCGGTGTAACTAACAAGAAATAACCTTTTAGTTTGAAACCCTTAGGAATTTTGTTCAAATAAGGGGAAATAAAAATTACTTTCATTAAACCATTATTTCAGATGTATCACAGAATTCACCATTCAGAATGTATATATCGGGTAACAATGGAGAAGCTTTCATATCACAGTGTTTGTACAGCAGAAGAATGGAAAAATCTAATGGATTGCAAACTCCCATCACATCTCTGCAGAGAAATTGAAGAGTATGTTTTTATAGTATATTACTGATATTGAAGCAAACCTTGATAAATATTGTGAATGTAGTAGATGTTATTGTTAAAGGCCCAAATATTTTGATATGGATGTCTTGTAATAGATAGCTGCAATCAATTAGGGAAGGAGATTGGATCATTGTGGGGGTAATTTAATCCTTTCCTCAAATCTTTTCCTAAGGAATATTCCTTCACACATATGAACACACACACAACACAGACACACAATTGTCCTATTATTATTTCAAATGGGTTGAAATATTCTATAAATATCAGTTTCACCTGCCTAGCTTCTTTTTCAGTATTGAGATTTCCTTTAAGTCTGTATCTCACTAGGAAATTAATGGCAAGGAAACTGCTGATAAGTACTTCACTGATTATTGTTTTGATTGGCAGATAATGCCTCAAGTGTATGTCCTGATAAATATGCAGATGCTCAGATATGCTGGGAGTATCCCATGGTTCCATAATAACCGTGATATGTTAATCATTTGTGTAAACAGAACAGTTGATTTCAAATCTATGCAGCACACTATTATGTTTCTAATGCACCTGGGTATTATTATTAAGTTCAGGCAATGGGAATAGAACATCTGCTGTACACAAGAACAATGCAGGGACAAATAGTATCCACACAATTGGCAGCTCTATCGTGCTGATCCTTAATGTGAGGTTATGGATATTGAGATTACAAAATATAACTGAATAACAAGATAAAATATAATGTGAGGTGTTTGGATTGCATTATTTCATTTTACATTGTTTATGACACATTTACTATTTGGTACCACCTAAATATGGTAGACATTTGTTATAATCAAAAGTATATTTTATTATAATTGAATATTGATTATGTATAATCAAGTCAGTGTCAATCCTTAGTGGCCATCTAAATAGACATTGTTCAGGTTGATCTGTCTCCAACTTTGCCCTTCTGGATTTCAGACAATGCACACATTACTACTGTAACTGAGTCCATCTGTCTTGTGCTGGTTATCTTCTTCTCTTTCTTTCCACCTTTCCCACATTAAAGACTTCTCCAAAGAAAAAAAGTATTTGCACTTTAACTGAGAACTTTGGATTAACTTGTTTGATAATTGTTTTCCTGATTATTCATTATAATCAAGATAATGATTTATTATAATTATTCATTATCATTACCATAATTTATTCTAATTAAATATTCTGATTTCTAAATATTTATTCATCACACTTTAATGCAGCTTTTCTTTTTCTTTTTCAAAGCTTTCTTTACAATTTTTTGGTGGGATACTCCATAATGGGTTTTCCTTGTGGGTAGTAGATGGTTCTTTAAGTTCTTTTAGGTGTTGTAAAGACTCTATTCTCTATTCAGCTAAGGAATTTAGAAATATGTTTAAATAGACTTTATTTTTAAATCATGCTTTCAATAAACAGGGCACTTGCATATATCATCAGGGCACTTACATATAATTGGATCCAAGACAGATAGATAATGTGCCTGATGGAAGTGGACTTCTTCATCCCTTCCATTCATAGTCTGAAAATAGTACATAAATTATTTGGGAGATTAGGGATAGATGCTACGGAAATGCCCCTCTTTGATGTGCTAATATTCTCTTTTCCCACACAAATGGTCTCATTCGTTAAGTTCCAGCAATCCATTTTTGTTTTGTTTTATAAAGGACTAAATTCATTAATGCATGAGATGTTACATATTTCTGCATATTTCTGTTAGAAGCCAGTATGAATCAAATATGCATTATTGCTACTTGAGAGACGAGACTTTTAATGTTGAAAAGAAAAAACTGTGTATATTTATACTTTTAGCATATATACAAGTAATTTTATTTCTCCTAATTTTATATTTCTTATTTTAACAGATTCCATTTTGACATTGGTCCTTATGAAGATTTTTGGCCAGCAATTTTCATCTATATGATTCATCAAAGTTGTGGAGCAGGCTGGTATGATCTCTTTTTTAAACTTACACTTTTAAAATATTTTTAAAGAAATATTTGTATTAGCTTTTGGAGCTCTAATGTTATTTGATTTGGGCATAAGGGATTAGAAATTCTATTTCCAGTTCTACTTTATCATTCCTATTCTACAAATTCTATTCTATAAAAGGGTGAATTCTGTTTTTCTCTCAGAAAACAGTTTATCTTCAATTCTGTAAAATCTTGTATTGTATCAAGTTGTGTTTTTAGTTCACAGGAGTGACTGGATTAAGAATTATTTTCATATAGAGGCAATGACTAAAGTACATTAGATAAGATGAGTTATGAGTATTGAGTTATGTATAGCTTCTTGTGTAGTTGAAGAATTGAATTACCGGTAGTTTGAATTACTTTTTTTGGTGGGCATGGACTACATTGCTTGTGCACCAACAACTTCCATCACCTAAATGTCTTCAATTGCCAAGCTGATGGCCATGGTGTTTTTGGCTGATGAAAGCTCTGGTTCAAAACCTCTGGAAGACTTTATGTTGGGAAAGTTAGGTAGAGTAGCTCAGTAAACTGGGATGTAAATATGTTGGATGAACTCTTGATTAACTTCCCCCCTGGGGCTGCAGAGTGTCTCTGTTCTTGTGTGTCCCATTGTGCTACTGACATTGGCAACTGGGAGATTTATGGTCAGAATTTTGTAATCTAGCCCTAGAAGATGGATGAAGAATAATTAAGATCAACAAGGAGACACTCCTTTGGATTGACAAACATGAGTGAGAAAAGTAGCATATGGGCTATAAAGACTAATCAGTAATAAATCTAGGGCCTTTTGAAAAAAGGAAAATAGTTCTACTGCTGAGGTTCTCAGTGATATTTTATATTGAAAGTGGAAAAAACTACCTTTTCTCTATTTTTCTCAAAGATGGAAGAATAAAGACAAACATCAAGGTCAGAAAAAAATGCACTTACAAATTTAGAGATGTCCAGTTGCACTCTTAGGGTTGGGCACATTCTTGATTTTCCCAGTAGATGCTGTATATATTCAAAGTATTGGGTATACTTTGCAGGGCAGTAAAGCTGCAGCACTGAAATGTCACTTTAAAAATAACTTGTCATAATGATTTTATATACACAAAAGCTGATTAATAGATTGCAAAGCAGGCAATCAATTTTACCCTAAATGTTATACATTTAAACACATTAGACATGATCCAGCAGTTGAAGATCATGTTTGGGAACTCTGATACACACATGGATGGATTTCTGAACTAGAGATGTAAAAATGCTCCTAAAGTGTTTGAAGAGGTGCAGAGAAAAGTTACATTTCCCCCTAATGATTTGGAGAAAAACAGAAATCTTTGAAGATCTATTAATTATATTCTAAGTTTATTTCTCTAATAAATGAAATGCATTATGTCTATATGAGCACATTAAACCATCATTTTATTGTATATGACATTTAAAGATGCATCTTTGTACAGCCCAAAGCAGTGGGCGTATAAAGTGATATCTTTTAATGAATTAAAAATTGACTTTCTGCTTGCAGAAGCATTTTCAACTTGGTAGATATCTTTGTTAGTAGAACGAAAGTGTTTTTCACAGATCAGACTTTCTCCATGTCTGATGTCTTCCATGATGATCTGAAGGTTCTCGCAATCTGTTGGAGGAGATTCTAATGTAGCACAGTGGTCAATGGAGAAAGGAAAAACTAGCTGAAATTACTATATTCCCTTCTCTTCAATTAATGAAGGCACTTGCTGGGTCAAAAACTCTTCTGAAAACATAAGTTTACAGCTGGTTCTTCTTCACTATTTCTGTACAAAACATTTCCAGATTTCCTATTCCTACACAGATATCCACAACATCCTAGAGCTGAGCTCTGTTTTCGTATGCCCATAGAGATATTTTCACGCAGTGCACATCCATAAGATTTACTGTTATTTACCAGTTCCTTTTGAGATCCATTGCTGCATCAATGAAGCTTCCCAGTCTTGAATGGGGAATGTGTTCTTAGAATTGAAAACAACATTTTCAAATTCAAAACTTCATTTTGAATGCAGACCAACATATTTCTTTTTTAAAATTATTTTTTATTAAAGAGGTATTTTACAAAGTAAAAATAATATAAAATTAAAGAAAAAACAAAGAAAAGAAAAATAAAACACCATATTTTTGACCACACTGTAGAGATTCTGTCCGGTTTGGATGCTAGCATATTTGCTGTGGAGCCGATTCTTTCTGCTTTGACTTTATCTTTTTATTATAAATGTTTTTAATGATCACCATTATTATAAAGTGATCTTTTCCTGCCCAAAAGGATAAAGTAGTATTGTATGCAATAACCTGCAGGTGTTCACCTTAGCCAAGATATTGTTTTACCTATAATTTTCTTACCTCGATTTCCCAAACTCATCAGATGCTGCCTATGGTTGATTTGTGCTTCCATTTCTACTTCATGCCTGCCCCATCTCTGGTAAGCATGATGTGCAGGGATTCTGACCCCAAGAGAGAAAGGTACATTGGATCTGGTGTGTACACACTCACAGTACTTGTCAGTGGCATCTTTTAAAAAAAACCCATCTTTTCTTGGTTTCACATGGTAACTCTCTAACCTATGAGCTTTGCTCATGTATTGGTCCATATGGATCTGTAGATTGGCAGTTTAGTTTAGTTTAGTTTAATTTAGTTTACTTTATTGTCATTGCACATGGTACAACAAAATTAAATGCCGTCTTCAGTGTACATTATAACTATAAAAATAAAAACACAAACATACCTCTTTTACATTCTATATAATTGAAATTGAAAACCCGATATTGCACAGAATTCAATATGGTTATTGCCCTGGGATAGAAGCTGTTTTTCAGTCTATTGGTCCTTGTTTTTATTATCCTGTACCATCTGCTAGATGGTAATAGTTCAAAAAAAGGGTTAGGATGCCTGATAGGACTTTCCATGTTATGGAGAGGCTGGTTATTGGCCTGCAGTTGAACTGTGCTCTTTACTTGTGGGGAAGTTTTATGCTCAACACTGTCCTTCCTTGTGTTGGCCAGTTCAGGTGGCAACCTTCATTTCTTGATGCACTGCTGGATCTCTGTTACTGTATTGGTATGTATTGCTGATCATGTGCCCACATCAGATCCAAAGTATCTTTCCTGCTTCAAATCCAACTACTAAACATGTATCTGTATCACATGTGGGTCAAGAACACCAGTAGCTCATAGATAGAGCAGTTGCTCAAGATTCAGGGTCTAGACAGACTAATCTATGCACAGCTTGAATTGACTACAAGAAAGCCTACGACTCAATGCCACACAGATGAACCCACTATGCTACACATTATGTAAAACCAATAGGGCACTAAGAACCTTCCTCAAGAACTTAGTGGGACCATAGAAGACAACACTGGAACTAAGTTCAAGACAGCATCGAGGCAACAATCATAGCAGCACAAGAACAGGCACTAAGCACCAGAATCATAGAAGCAGGTGTTTTTCATATAGGGTAGGTCCTAAGGCAGGGGTGTCAAACACATGGCCTGCAGGCCAGATATGGCCCATGCAGGCCATGCCCACCCCAATTCTGCAAGTGCAAAAACAATCCCAATATATCATGATACAGCCCACGATGTAGTTGGGTTTGACACCACTGACCTAAAGTGTAGACTCTGCAGAGAGGCCTCAGCGACAATGCAATAAATAGCAGTAGGGTGTAAGATGAATACATACTAAATGACACAATCAAGTAGCTGGCATTGTGTACAGGAACATCTGCACAGTGTGTAGGCTCTGAAATCCTGATGGGAGATTCCACAAAAAGTCACGGATAATAATAGGGCTAAGATTTTGTGGAACTTGACAGATCCAGATGGACAGGAAGTTACTAACCAATCAACCAGACATTGTAGTAGTAGATAAGGACCAGAGGATAATGATGTTGATTGATGTAACTGTGCCAAATAACATCAACAACAGGAGAGAGTATGAGAAGCTGGAGAAGTACCAGGGCCTGAAGGAGATTCTCTCTCTCTCTCTCTCTCTCTCTTCCTCTCTCTCTCTTCCTCTCTCTCTCTCTCTCCCTCTCATATATATTAATTGCACATTCACATATATGCAGTGCTTATTAATAAAGACTAGATGTTCTTAAATAGTGACTTAAATTTCAAAGACCCTTTAAAGGAGTAACCAGAATTAAAACAATATGCTAAAATATTGCCTTAAAAGGTTTTTATATTGAAAATATTTGTATTTTGTAAAAAAAAAAAAATCTCCAAATTTCCATTTTTTAAAATTAGGAAAATGGAAAAAAAAGAAATCAAGAATATTTCACCCCTCCCTATTTTCCCCCAGGTTTTCATATCTCTAGTATAAGCAAGGACTGCTCCATTTATTCAGAATCAGGAGAAATGAAGTGAATGGAACAATTCCAGCTTGTGCAGATCTCCATGTGTGCTTCAGAACCCTGCAGAGCTTTTGATTGAGAGAGTTATTTTAAAGGGTCTTCAGCTCCCCCATATTTTTTTGATAGTATGGCTATACACACATATATACTTCTGTTACTATGTCTGCAGTGCTTATAATCAGAAAAATATAAGGGGTAGTTTTTTGCGTAATTCTTATTTAAATCTACCTGACAGAAACCAGATGTGGTCTCTGAGAGGCATGTAATTAGCAAGGGTTTCTGTCTAAACAGAGCCCATTGGGACTGAGTCTATAGATAGGTTGCAGAGATTAAATTATTTCTGCAAGCAGAAATGTTTTTGCATTAGCATTTTTAATTAAACTGAGGATATTGAGAATTAATGTCTCAATAGGGCAGGAATGTATTATACATATGGGACTTTTAAAAAAATGTTTAGAACCAACTACAGTAGTTTACCAAATAGAGGGAGGTGCAGAGAGAAAAAGATTCTTCTGTAGCCCAGATCTGTTCCTGTAGCTACATTACACAAACTTTCACCCCTAATTTACTCTTCCTATCCAAGAACAAACAATATTTGAAACAGAATTCTGATCTGCATCACTTGATCATGCAGTCAGTTTTTTTAAAAAAATTTCTATAGAAACTTTTAGGAAAACCATATATAAGAACTGATGAAATGATCAATTCACATCCTCTGTTTTGAGAAAGCTGGAATCCCCATTGAAGTCCCCTGATTTTGAAAGCTTTAGTGATGGTCTATGAATTTCTGAACTGGAAGTGGAGGTATTATAATACCCCAATCCGTCTAATTTTTGAAATTATTATCATCAGTAAAACTGTCTATCAGGAAATAATCAGACACTTGAAATTCTTTTCCTGTTTATTTTGGCAAGGCTCAGGGCTCTACTTATGAATGTCTTCAAAGAAATTAACTTCATTGAAAATATTCAGATTTTTTTCAACATACCATATTAGAATGAATTTATAAACAACCCCCTCTGAAAAGACAGCTACTTAGAGGATTATCATTTTAGCCTATATATCTATAATAAAAGCTCACTTTCTCCTTGAATACATTTATATAAATATTTAATGACTTTATGTGGGAATTTTGGGTTTTTTTTAAATGCAGGCATTTAGTTTCTGCACTTTAATTTTCTGTACTTTAAATCAGTATACATTTTTAAAAATAATGTGACTTTTACTGTCAGAAAGACCTATAATTTGACTGAAAGGGCTATAGATTCAAAGGTATAATTCTAGTTTTTGCTTACTCTGATTTGGTTAAAAATTTTAGCTTTAATTTAAATGAACATTAAAGTAACCTCTGTTGGTTAATGTAAGCATGCATCCTTGGAAATAAATTCCAGTGACATTGGAAGATGTCTAAATGCATTTAATTGAGGAATTATCTATATAAATAGCAATAACATTACCACACACTTAAAATTATTTGAAAAGATTAACCAAACCAAGTTTTAGCTTTGATTTTTAAAATGTGTTCAACAATTAATTCTTAGTTTGAATTGTAAACATAGTGGCAAGGCAGTTCTCTTTCCTGCGATGTAAGTCTGCCCCATTTTGCACATGCAGGATGAACAGAAGTCGAAAGGCTAACAAGAGAGAAGATGGCAGTGCTATGATGTCAGCATTGAGCCTTTATATGGAATCTGATATTATGGAGGAAGGGTAATTAGAGCTTTTAGCCTGGACACAGCTTTGAAGAGATGCAGTATGTGTGTGTACATGTGTGTGTGGGTGGCTGGGTGGGGGAAATGTGAAAATACGATTGGCTGTAGGAACCAAATTCTTGAAAAGTAGGACTCACTCTAGCATTATTACTTGTGACTATCTCTTAAAATGCTTACTCTAAAAAAAGAAGACTTTCTTTTCCAGGGTTCAAATTCCAGGGTTATAATTGAAAGCTCTGTGGGACTCTGACATGGACATGCAGTTCTGCTGTTCCATTCTCAAAATGTTTCAGTGGCACGTGCAAAATATTATTCTATGTAACAAGAAAAAAAAAAACCTGAGTTTGTCTTTATTTCCACATCTCTCATACATGTGCACTGAAATTATTTGCGAGTAAAAAGTATATGTTTGCTTCTTTGGAAAACTAGAACAAGCATACACAGGCACATTTCTAGTAGATACAGATGGCAAAGTAAAGCATAGGTTCTCAAAACTTCCTTTGTCTTTCACTAGTCCATCTCCCACAAGGGTATAAAAACCAGCCTATTATCATTATACAAAGAAAATAATGGAGGTGCAAGTTTATTTCCTTGCCTTTTTTTTACGTAGCATCCAGTGTCTCCTTATCTGTTGATTTGCTGGCTAGTTAGGCATTACTCAGCATGACCTACTCTCTGCTATAAATAGTGGCATTTTAAGAGAAATCTGCCATAATTGTTTTCAGTCAAATGAAGAATGCAAGAAAAATTATCTCACAGAAGAATGGAGAACTTATATTTTGCATAATGGGTATCTGAATCATATGAATATATGTATATGTGTATATATATATATATATTGCATAATGGGTAACTGAATCATATGAATATATGTATATGTGTGTGTGTGTGTATATATATATTATATATATATATAATATATATATATATATATATATATGTAGGTCTTTGGTTATTCGGGTCTTCTCCCACGTAAAATTGGAAGTGTCTTGGCGACGTTTCGACGAAGTCTCATTCGTCATCTTCAGGCTGGTGTTCTCGGCTTTGTGCTTCCAGGAGCAATGTGAGATCGCAGCTGTCTCTTCCTTTTAACTGCTAGTGGGGGTGTGAGCTGATTGGGTGGGAACTTGGCTGTGTTCTGATTGGGTGGAGGTGTGTTCTGATTGGTTAGGGGCTTGGTTGTGCTCTGATTGGCTGGGGGTGTGTTCTGTTTGGGTGGGGGCTTGGTTGTGCTCAGCTTAGTCTGAGTTGCAGGGGGATTTGAGCTGGTGACCTGCGTTGTTGTTGTTTGGCTTCGTGTTTGTGGCCGTGTGAGCTCTTCATGGTGGGTGTCAGTCTGCTTCATGTATGGATTGGAGGGGTTTAAAGTGGCTAATGATGCAGTTGCGGTCTGGCTTCTGGTTTCTGGCTTCCAGGAAGCACGAAGCCGAGAACACCAGCCTGAAGATGACGAATGAGACTTTGTCGAATATATATATATATATATATATATATATATATATATATATATATATATATATATATATATATATATATATATTTCCACCCAAACCACAATGATATATATATATAGATATATATATATATCATTGTGGTTTGGGTGGAAACTTCTGAATTTATGCTTGAATATGCCTCTACTTCTTTGAGTATAACTTCTTGCCTTGTGCTTGCAGTACAATGAACTTAAGTGGCCCAACTGCTGAGAAAATAAATCCATTAAAAACCATTTTTTTGTTGTAAAGTTATACTGAAATATATTTTTTAATGAAGTAAATAGAATTTTGATTGAAAGTATTCTTTTCCTTCTGAATGCTTTATCTGATTCCTTTTTTTCTTTCAAGTTTTGATATGGAAAAACTATGTCGCTTCACGATGTCTGTAAAGAAGAACTACCGCCGAGTGCCCTATCACAACTGGAAACACGCCATCACAGTTGCACATTGCATGTATGTTATTCTCCAGCACAACCACAGGACTTTCACAGACTTAGAAGTAAGTGTAGATCCCCCCCACCCCAATATCAAATACAAACCAGAGGTAAAGGCTGCAGAAACCACTTTGAAAACAGGACAGCTTTATTTCAGGCCAGATTTGCTTTTTACAGGATCTGGCTGTTGAAGAATCCCCACCACAATTTCCCCAAACAATTTTTTTGCTCTTGGAGTGCAGCCTTTTCCCCACTATGCAAATAAACAGAAATAGTTTACCCATCAAGGCCTCTTAGGGCAATGTTTTCTCATGTAGGGCAACCTGCTGCCAAGACTTGCTTCGGGCATTGTGGCTTTTATTTTTTCTTCTGTGACAATTGTCCAAGTCAGAGTTCTGACACTGTCTTGTCCTTATAAACCAGATCTGTTTTACAGGATTAGTCTATTTTGCTTCAGAGTAACACCGTAATACTCTGAAGCAACCCATTTTATTTGGGCTTTATAGAAATGTTGACACATTTCTGATATAAATGAAACTGAGCCATGGTGGCGCAGTGATTTAGAATGCAGTACTCTGCCCACTGCCAGGATTGGATCCTGACCAGCTCAAGGTTGACTCAGTCTTCCATCCTTCCGAGGTCGATAATATTAAGACCCAGATCATTGGAGACAATATGGTGACTCTGTAAACCACTCAGAGAGTACTGTAAAGCATTAGGGCATAGTATATAAGTTTAAGTGCTATTGCTAGTGCTATTGTGAAATAGAAAATAGAGTCCAGTGGATATCTTTGTAACAAATAGGTATCATATCTACAGTATATTCGCTCAACGAGATAAAAGATTAAGAAATGTATAGAATGAATGGCTTGGGATAATAAAGAATAACAGCACCAAATTAAGATTAACAGTCGAAACCTTTATTTATTTATTTATTTATTTTTTACAAGAGTAACAATTATAAAATTGAGTTTTAGAAATGAATCAATTCTATGAAAGACTGATCTATGATTGTGGGGTCCTTAGTGCTGTCTGTGCTTGGTGGTTTTCTTGCAGGCATTTCATTACCAAACTAGATAACATCATCAGTATTAATGAAGTGTGACTGTTAACCAAGAAAAACTGGGTATGGTCTTGTTTCTAATGATATTTCAAAACAATATGGAAAATACCCTAATAGTTTTTAAGTATTATTCTTTGGAAATGGAGGAAAGCATATGAAGTATAAACTCTCTTAGTTTCAGATGTCAAGCTTAGATTATTAACTGCCCTTCTGTATTCATCCATTGGGAGAATCTTAAGTGAAATTGATATTGATGTAAGGATGTTTGTAGTAGGAGATATTGTTACGAATTTCATATATCTGATAAGGATATTTTACATCATAATTCCTAGACATAATTCATTGTATTTTTTTCCTCCCTAATCTTTGTGCAAAATAAAAGTAGTCCTTGCTTGTTTGTTATTTGTTCAGGATACCAGGTTGTTTGCCATAGGTCACAATCTTGTGCCTACTTTCTCTTATAACCTTTCCCTGTTTCCTCTCCCTCTTTGACATAATGTTACAAATTTTGCCTATTATTCTGGGTTTTTGGAAATATGCGTTGTTTTTGCAATATTACCCCAGTTTCAATTTCAGTTTACTTTTCCCCAATCACTTTCCCTGGGTTGCAGTAGAGAAAATGGGTTGGTTGCCTTCGAAATCCCAGCAGCCAATGCCAGATTTCCAGGGATTGGAATGCTGCATTTGTCTTTTCAGTGCTGGTGAAGGACATGCTTCATTGGACAGCTACTCTTATTTTATTCACCCGAGAGACCGGCTAAATGGCTTTAATGAAAAGGAATTAATTCAGCTGCCTTCAGAAGAAATAATAATTATGAAATGTTATGTTTTATTACTACACTGAATTAGCACAGTTCTCAGAGTAGAATTGCAGATTACCAGTATATTACAGGACTTCACTTGTCCCATTAGAAGATCTTTTGTTCTCAGCCACAGCCACAGCCAGTTATTTGAGATGGTACACAGGAAGCTGCATACCTCTATTCATGCAGGTTTTGCCCATTACTTTCTGGCATATCTGTGCTAATCCTCAAAGTATTCAATGAACTTTAGTTTATAGTTGTTGTTGAATTGGAGAACTGGGGTTAACAGGTTAAGAACAAGTCAGGATATTAAATCAACTTCTCTGTTTCTTGATGACTTTCTGGTTACTGTAGCACATTATGAAAGATGAACACATGAATAATGATAAAGAATAAAGAATATTGGACAAAAATACATACATGGTTAAAAAAATGTTAAAGCTGCATATAGATTATAAGCCAGGAATATTTTTGTTAGGTATAATACCAGAAAAGTACCATAAGGGGAATTTGTATTTAATACTACATGTTTTGACAGCAGCAAGGATTGTATTTGCATAGTACTGGAAAAATGAGGAAACACCGAGAGAAGAAGATGTAATTAAAAAAAATAGATTGTGCAGAAATGGACAGACTGACATTAAAGATAAAAGAAAAAGAAGAGTATTTTTGAACATGGGATTTGTTTTATAAATGGTTGGATAATAGAGGTAGAAATTAGGAGCTGGAAAAGTATTATTATGTAAGCAAATTGACCCAGACAATATACTATTCACAAAGCACTCATGTATGTTAAATGAAAATATATAAAAAAACTGTTTTTTAAAAAAAAGAATAAAGAAGCAACATGAAGATCTAACTGAACAAATATATTATTTAATCAACTTATACAAATAGTTGTTGGTTAACAATCATTCATTCAGCAACCAGCAACCATAAGAGCTTTGGCGGCTCAGTGGTTAGAATGCAGTACTGCAGGTTATTTCTGCTGACTGCCGGCTGCCTGCAATTTGGCAGTTCGAGTCTCACCAGGCTCAAGATTGACTCAGCCTTCCATCCTTCCGGGTAAAATGAGGATTCAGATTGTTGGGGAAAATATGTTGACTCTGTAAACTGCTTAAAGAGGGCTGTAAAGCACTGTGAAGCGGTATATAAGTCTAAGTGCTATTGCTATTGTTATTTGAAGTTATAACAGTATTGAATGAGTGGTGTTTATGACTGGTCCTTGAAGTACCAGCCATCCCAGCACCCTTGCGCTGACATGATCATGATCCAAGTGCTTGGCAACCGGCTCATGCATCCCGCAATATACATTCACACAGCTTTTTTTGTCTTGAGGACCATGGCTGCAGACTCTGAGATTCCAAGGATCTCCATAGCATGTGTGTCCCTACAGAATACCCTCCTGCCCACAGTGACCACCTGCATACCCTCCGTCCTCTGGCAGCAGCCACTGTGTGCCTCACTTGTACTGCAGCAGTCACTTTTGCACCTGCTGGTCTGCTTCTGGGTCTCTTGGGACTTGCAACTTCCTGCCAGTTTCTATTTGTTGGAAGCCAGGAGGAGTTGTGAGGAGGTTCTCACTTAATTACCCGTGATCCTCACTTAATGATGGCAAACAGGGACTGCCAGGATTGCCATTGCTAAGCTATGCTTTTCAACTGCATTGCTTAGCAATGGAAATTCTAGTCCCAGTTATCATGGTTAAGCATGATAACAGCTCTCTCACAATTGCAAATTTAGGGCAGCACACATTGGATTAAAACCAAGCTAAAACATAAACGTGATGAAATAATGACCAAAGACAAGTCAACTCCAATAATAAAATGCATGAAATCCTAGTGACAGGCTCACTTAACCTCCAGATCCTTGGCCCAAGGGAAAATCCAGGTGTTCAATGACGTATAAAATGCTAACAAGGAAATAGTCATGTGTTTCTTGTATTATTAAACCAAGATACAAATATAGCTCAGACACCTGGTGAAGGTCTGGACCTTAGTTCTAGATTACTTGCAAAATAAACAGAAAATTACATTGTTAGTCCATGACTTCTCCCAGGTAGCTAACCTGGGAATTATTTTGAGGGTTTGCAAGAACTTCCTGAATTGGGAATCATCATCATCATGTTTTATCTCGTGCAGTCCCCATAATTAGTTCTGGCAACGTGGGTGGCTACATTAATTAATTAAATAATTATCTTGTATATTATCTTGTCTGATGCAACTGATGATCTGGCTGAGTATAATAAATTACCGCCTATTTTTTAACTTTTTAAAATATATTTTTTATTAAAAGTTGTTATCTTAATATAAAACACAAATAGAATAAACTACCTCTTATGAACTCAACATGTTCAACATAGTGGCAGAATGTAACACTATAGGCTAATTAGCTGGGAATCATTGATATTTATTATATAGGTTATTAAGTCATCCTGTCTCCAAGTAGCTCACAAGCAAAAAGAAAATAGAATAACATGGTACCAAATCAGAAAATATAATCTTTAGGGGGAAAAAATGAATAATTAGAAAACTTAAACATATCTTTATTTTATCAGTACTGATTATTCATAATTCTAGCACTGCCAATCATTCCAGCTACAACAAATTCATTTCTGAATTATGTATTTTATATATTAATGGAATTAGTAAAGTGTCTGGCCTAGTAGAGAGTGACATCTAGTGGTCTAAATTTAATTTGAAGATTAACTTCCTGGCTGCTTATTTTTCTAGCGAAGGGGTCTTCTCGTCGCCTGTTTATGTCATGACCTGGATCACAGGGGTTATAGCAACAGCTATCTCCAGAAATTTGATCATCCATTGGCAGCACTTTATTCCACCTCAACCATGGAACAGCATCATTTTTCTCAGACAGTGTCTATACTGCAGGTAATTCATTGCTCTCCATTTTTATGGCTAAGATTTAGAAAACTAGAAGTAGCAAAGCTAACTGCATGAAGTTTGTTTAGATTATCTACGTGGACATTTCCCTTTTTACTATGCAAATGGAAATCAGAAAGGAAAGGGGAAAGGAGTAAAAGAAAAAAAAGAGTGACTTCTGTCTCTTTTGATGCAGTAGAATACAAAATACGGTTAGTTGCCACTTAACGTTTTGCTTTAGACTCCTAGTAGATACAAACCATTTCTATAGCAACAAAGTTATTCTAGTCATCAAAACCTAAGATCAAACTCTTTTTTTTTTTGTTCGAACAAAGTCCAAAAGTAATTTCTAGGTGGAAACAAGGTTTTCTGGATAGGTTCCTCTCTTCAGTTAGTTTTGCCATCTCTGCCAACTTTGCTTCTCTTCAATTAATTTTGCCATCTCTGCCAACTCCATCACATTTTTCACCCTTTCTTCTATGGTGGGAATTGAACTAGCTTTCCATTTTTGCACATATATAATAACAAAGTTCAAATTTTTCTTTCAAATTCTTTATCAAACAGTCCTTAAAGGAAAATGTCAGGTTTCAATTTTATATTTGATTTAATAATCTTCTGAATTGAGACAAAAATTTGTCCCAATATTTCTTTGCTTCATCACAAGTCTATCAGAGATGATAAAGCATACCCAGTGTTGAAGTGTTGATTTACCTTCTACTTTCATTTTATTGTGATAATAATAAAAATAACTAGGAACTGGTTTAGGTGTTGTTTTGGCTTTTTGGCTTACACTCAAAACTTACAACAGACCTATCACATGTTTTCAAAATTCCAACTCTGTTTACCACTGTAAAATGTCCTAGGTACTTAAAGGTTCATGAATATAATGGTTTCTTTGAATGCATATAGATAAACCCAATGTCTTGTTTTAAGAGCTACTGTAGGCCCAATATAAACTTAAAACAAGGTTTAAATTAGTCACGGCAATATCCTTATATGCTTTCCTTTTTTTCTAGCTGGAAGGCCACAATATTTTCTCTAATTTGAACTCCAATGAGTATGAACAGGTCTTGGAAATTATCCGCAAAGCCATTATTGCTACAGACCTTGCTCTGTACTTTGGAAACCGAAAGCAACTGGAAGAGTTACAACAAACAAGATCACTGAATCTTAAAAATCAAGCACATAGGTAAAATACAAGTGAATATTTATGGTTTGAAATCTCAATCATATTTCCTTGTTTTGAAGGCTAAATATTTAGCTTCCTGTATTTGGCTATACAACTAATCTAATATATAAAACGTTCTGAGGAATGTGCACTAACCCTCATAAAGGGAATCAATCAAGAGTTATTTTACTGTTGGTATATATATTCAGCAGTGCATTCAGGAACTTTCTGATAATTTTGAGTTTGGAGTATGGTTGTGCGGTGGTTAGAATGCAATATTGTGGCTAACTCTGCATTCCACTGCCAGGAGTTCGATCCTGACTGGCTCAAGGTTGACTCAGCCTTCCATCCTTCCAAGATCAGCAAAATAAGGGCCCAGATTGTTGGGGGCAATATGCTGACATTTGTAAACCACTTAGAGAGGGCTATAAAGCACTGTAAAGCAGTATATAAGTCTAAGTGCTATTGCTATTTACAGTGCTGCGATGTGTATAAGATTTAAGATTGAATTTTATATAAAATTGAACCCCAGAAGCATTCTGGAATCAATCTGTTCATCTTTTACATTGCACCATTTTATTTTGAAATGCTCCACTTAATAACCAAACAGGTTGAGTGTATTTATTTGTTAAGGTATGTATAGAGTTGGTTCAGGACAATATATATAATAATAAAAAACAGGGATGGCAAAAGTAAGCATAAATTATATAGTGTTGCCTGTTGAGATTTCCTTCTAGACTCTTTGATGGATCTGGATTACTTTATTCTATGCTATTTATTAATGCTTTAAAAAAATATTTATACATAGCAATTGTCATCAGTGCCACCCCTGTCCATTTTTCCCTTTTAACTGTGCTCATGATGGCCACTCTTCAAAATGGAAAATGCTGAATGATAAAAGTAAAAGAGAAAACAAGACACCCAACAGCAATTGGTATTGCAATTTGGATCAATGCTCTGATAAAATTAGGTTAACAAAATGCAACTACATATGTGTATTTCACCTCATGAGAATGTCATTGGTTTTAAAGAATCTATCTCAATTTTTATAGCTTTGCTTGGCATATAACATGGGCTTTATGGGAAATTATTTTTAGAGGTTATTAGTATAATAAAGTATTTTGCATAATAAGTTAGATCTACAATAAGAATACAATTTTTAAGATCTTCGGAGATCTTAAAAAGATCTATACAACATCGGATTAATAAAAATCTATCAAAATCAATAAAACATCATACAGGTGAATATGAATCCAAGATTCAAGGATGTTTTATCACACAATCATTATTCTCTTATTTAACACTGGGCAATGTTAACTTGGGCAATGTTATGCTATAATATATTTGAGTTGGTATGAAGCTACAGTAACCATTTTTGTTGCTTTTTTATCTTCCCTTTCGACAGCTAATGACTAGTGTCTTTGGTGGTATGGTATGCCTTTGTGGCAGTATTTTTTCCAACCTAGATTTACCAGATGCCTTTATATTGTGAAAAGGCATCTGTTAGGTTCTTGAATGTTTTAATAGTATTAATTATCCTTAGCACTGAGTATGCTATTGTTTATTTTTTTCTTTGTGTTTTTATCTAAACTGATCTGTTTTACCTTTGAATCAAGATTTTTTTTTCAATATCAATTATTACTTATAGGATATATTTGAAAAGGCAAATAATTGTTTCAGCTACACAAGTTATTATATTCCAGGGATCGCGTGATTGGCTTGATGATGACATCTTGTGACTTGTGTTCTGTGACAAAATTATGGCATGTTACCAGACTGACAGCCAATGATATATACGCAGAGTTTTGGGCTGAGGTTTGTGCCTTTCATCATTGATTCATTTCCATATCTATCAGTAGACACTTGCACAGAAAATTAAGATTGATTGGATTATTGGAACTATTAGTGTTATTTGTGTATTTGTTTGTTTGTAATTGAGTGGTCACCTGGCTCCAAACAACTCTTAGCAGCTTGTGTTTTAAAACAGGAACAATAAATAAAAAAAGAAAGAAACAGTTCATAGACACCAAGTGTTTCTGCATAAGAACTTAATGTTTGTTTTCAGAATTCTGTCTTTTTTCTCCATTATATATTTAATAGCTTTAATTTTTATTATTGGGAGCTGAATAATTAAGAAATAAATGAATTTATTTTTCTTTCAGGGTGATGAAATGAAGAAGTTAGGTATTCAACCTATACCTATGATGGACAGAGATAAAAAAGATGAAGTTCCTCAGGGTCAGGTGAGTCTAAAGTAGGTTTTGAATAGATTTAATTTAGATATATGTATCCACTATTTAAATATTGCTATGTTTGCTTTTTGATTTTCATTCTTTAAAAAAAAAACCAGAATAATGTAATAAACTCTTCATAATTCTCAATAGACTAAACATCATTTTATTTATTAATTTTTATGCCACCTATCTCCCCAATAAGGCAACACTTTTTTCAGTGTTAATGTGCTGATTTGGTGATACTATTAAACAATTAAATGATCCAAATTCCTTATCCTTAAAAATAGTGAAAGTAAAAGGAAAGCCTATATTTATTAATTATGAACAACTAGGCATATCTGGAATTCTAATATGATCCCTTGTAAAATGCAATGTTAGTTATTGATTTGCCGGTGAATAATATTCATCCCACAAATCCAGAGCTATAAAAAAAAGAACATTATTATTATTATTATTATTATTATTATTATTATTATTATTATTATTATTATTATCTTCTTTCAATTTTGTAACAGAAAGGAAAAAAGGGGATTTAACATACATTTAAGAGTTGTGGTGGTACAGTGGTTAGAATGCAGTACTGCAGGCTACTTCTACTGACTGCCGGCTGCCTGCAATTTGGCAGTTCAAATCTCATCAGGCTCAAGGTTGACTCAGCCTTCCATTCTTCTGAAGTCAGTAAAAATGAGGACCCAGATTGTTGGTGGCAATACGCTGACCCTGTAAACCACTTAGAGAGGGCTGTAAAGCACTGGGAAGCTGTATATAAGTCTAAGTGCTATTGCTATTTGTAAAATATAGTGAGAATATATGAGAGTCTGTTAGCAAAGGAACTGTTGCAAATTTTGAGTTGAATAATATTTGTCTAATAGTGTTTTGATTTCTCATTTTTTTTCAAGATTGGGTTCTATAATGCTGTAGCTTTGCCCTGCTATAGTACACTTGCACAGATCCTCCCTCCCACAATACCACTCCATCGAGCATGCAGGTAAATATAAATTTGATTTGAACAGTCAACTGAAAACCCTTAAATAATCTTACTTCTACATAAGGAGGGATATTAAATGATTATTTCTACTTAAAAACTCTTCAGAACTGTAAAAAAACTGAGAAGAGGGATGTGTTGTATATTAGGTGCAATAGAATAATAGAGTTGGAAAGGCTATTTGCTTTAAAAGAGAGCCTCATAATTTCTTTAATTTTACCAATAGAAGAGAATATATGTAACTCAGAGTTGAACTATGGAATATGTGGTGGTCTCTGAGCTTGGATGTTTGCTTGCTCATGTTTCTGGGCACGGAACATGTTACCTAGTCTAGAGAACCAATCTAGAACTAAGGATAAATTTCAGTTATTAGTTAGAACAATTAATCAATGAACAATTTGCCTCCAGAAGTTGTGGGTGCTCCAATACTGGACGTTTTAAAGAAGAGATTGGACAACCATTTGTCCAAAATGGGATAGCCTTTCCTGCTTGAGCAGGGAGTTGAACTACAAGACCTCCCAGGTCCCTTCCAACTCTTCTTATTCTGTAACAAAATGTCTGCAAGCAAACAATCAATCGCCAATAATCATTATGTTTTGGCTAGCATCTGCCCCTTTGGAATCCTGATTGCTCTTCTTGTTGTTTTACATTTCTAAATAAAAAATGGTAGTGAATGCATTAATCTACCTTCATAGTTCTGTTCAGAGGTGATGAAAGGGAAATACAAGGCAAAGAAACTTAAATGTATGCAACATTAGTAGATTAGTAATCACAAAGCAATGCTGATGATATTTTGTGGCCATGGTAATGAGATTACTATATCCAGGGGAATAAAGGCACAGTTTTTCAACTTAATATTAAACCTTCAGTAATTAACAATACAGTTGCCATCCTCCCCAAATTGAAAGCCCAGATATGAGAGCTCAATGGTCACAGTCTGCCTCTGTGAAGGAGGAGCTTATATCAGATGAAATCATGACATCCCCTTTTATAAATGTTTCTTGTATACTGATACATCAATAAAATATGTGAAAAATGAGTAATTTTTCCTTTCTCTCCAGGGAAAATCTCAAACAATGGGAAAAGGTGATACGAGGGGAAGAAGCTTATGGATGGATACCCTCCCAATCCAGTAATTCTGACTCAGAATCTTTCCCTGTGAAGATTGTTGACTGATCCACATTTAAGGCTTTTTATTCCACAATTTTTAGCCTTTTAAAAGGATAAACTCTGCAAATACACAAACTGTGGGAATGCGAGTGCAAATTTCTTTTCCTCGGTGATACAATGTGAACACAAGATTCAAGTATTCAAGCAAAAGTCGGCTTGTAAATATAAAAGACTGGCTTTTTAATAGGCTATTTTGCTGAGGCCTTAATTTCAAAATGATTGGGCTGGGAAGGCTAACCTAGGCTTGGTTTTAAATTGTGTCTTTGTGGTAAAGAGGTTTCACTGGTACTTTTGCATACTCTTACACAATACTGTGATTGGCTTAAATACCAGGTTCACCTGGGAAGTCTAGACTGTAATAGGACATTTCCACACTGATAGGGTAAATGTTTTTGTTTGATTTTTGAACTCCAGAAGAAAATCTCTGGGGGCAGAAACTATCACTGAGTTTACAGTACTTGAATTTATCTTGCTGCAAATGGAGGTTTAATTTCCAGATACTAGACTTCAAAAGCATCATGAAGCAACTATTTTATTGCACCCATTAGATGTTGGGAAAAATATATCAGTGTTTCTTTAGTGATTTTGTAATTTAGGTAAAATGTCCATTTCTACCCTGGAAACAGAATATTTACCTCTGGTTGTAAGTATCACATTAGGTACCTGAAAACCCATCTTTTTAATCCTAGTAACAGTAATGGGTTTAATTTCAAATGTGGTAGCCTAAATCTGTCAGGAAAAGCTAGTCATTGTTTAAACAAATATTACAGATGGATGCCTCCAAATCCCAGCTAGTTCACAAAAAATAGAACCTTCCGGACATAGTCATAATCTCCAGAAGTCATAATGGTACTTACATGTTCTTAGTAGCTTCTGTGTTGCCCATTAGCACTAGGTGGGCTCTGTTCTACCTTTCACTTTGAATCTCCATTTACCCAAAAACCTTTAAAACAAATTGTCCAGTCTTGTAACCTGTTGCCTGTGGAACAAGAAAGCTGATATGTTAAACCATTGCTCTTACATACTGTGAATGAAGTCTGTATTGATATTGGCCCCAATTCTGCACATAATTTCATTCTGTGATATATTTCCATATATGTTAGGCTGTACACACTTTGAAAATGTAAAGTAGAGGGAAAGAAATTAAAAGAAGTGTTCTAAACCTTAGATGAACAACAGCATCTCTGGTACTAATTAGAATAGTCCTTTTTCAGGCTTCCTTGTGAACTTGAAACAAGTTGTGGCTGCATTAAGTTTAAGAAATTGGTTCCTTAAAGGGGCACTGTCTTTTTTTCCCCCAGGCTCACACAAAACCCTGAAAAAAGTTATTTTAATGGATAGCAGAGAGGAGCTGTGCTCCTAGGAGGCCCAAAAAAGTTTCTTCCAAATTAGTTTTGAAGTATGTACAGTCCTAATGTCTATACCTCTTTGCAGAATTATATTTGCAACTATGTTAACCTTAATTTAGTTTTAGACAATGTATCAATAAGCCATGAGGTTTAATCCTAGCACCACTGACCTCAGTGTGAACACCTCTATTGACTTGAATGGAAATCTCTCTCTCTCCTTCTCTGCCTCTCTTTGTTTCTCTCTATCTCAGTAGGAGAGTCTTCCTGCTGAAGTAGGCTTCATTCGTATACTTCATATAGCATTTAAATGGGTCTATCATATAGGCCTTCTTGGCAAAACCTTACGTTCAATACATACACATCACCATTGTATGCCCCATTCCAACATTATTCTCAAAATGAAGACATGTGCTGGATCCATAAGCTTTCATGCACCATGTGACAGTGGTCGGAACATAACTATCAAATCAGGGGTGGGTTCTACTTACCTTTACTACCGGTTCACAATGGGGCTGCACACATGTAGAAGCTTTTGCGCATGCGCAGAAGCATTTCCATGACATCAGGGTCAGTGGGAGGAGCCTCCTGCCAGTTTTACTACCGGTTCTATAGAACCGGTGTGAACCGAGGGCAACCCACCACTATATCAAATGCTGAAAGAGTCAAACAAAGAGAATATTGGAAAGCAAATAATTGACTTTATAAACTGAGATATGGATCCTTAAATGGATTGTGGACAAATAACTCTTTGTTCCTTTTCTGCTTTTCATGCATAAGATTACCATGGCTACCTCTCTGGAATATAATTGTATTTTTAGCTGATTAATTATGAATGATATTATACAAGTTACTCTGTGCCAGTTCAATGTCATTTTAATTGATTATTTTATTGGTGAGGATCCAAAGAATCTGGGTTACAACTGAGCACATACAATAGAGATGGGGAAACCTATACCCTTCCAGATCTTGTTGAACAATAGCTCCCAGCTGCCCTGACTAAGGTTGCTCATGATAACGAATGATGAGAGTAAGAGATTAGTAGCATGGGGGGTTGGGAATGGTTATTTCCACTCTTGGAATATTGTTATTTATAAATGTGCACAATCTGGTTAGAAATATAATTGCACAAAAACACTAGGGCTTTTAGCATATGTCTTATTTGTAGGTTTTAGTTTTGTGCCCTAACAGGTATTTTGAAAGGTGTAGGTTCTTGGGGAAAAAAAAAAAAGCTTTTTCTTGCCTAAACTTCATGGTATTAAGCTTGCTCACTTTCATAATTGTGCAAATATTACTGTGTGGCACAACCAAGGAAATACCAACGCAAGCATACACAAAATAATGCAATTGGTTCGTCTGAATAAACGTGTGCTTGAATACATAATGCACATACACAATATGTGTGTTTGTTGGATAACACAACATAAGAACTAGAAAGCAGAGTATTAGAAAAGCACTAAGGAAAAGTTTTAACTTGGGGATGTTGGCTTGTCATATGATAGATTGGTGTGGTCAATTCATCTTACCACCCTCTATATATCCTATAGGTTATGTAGCATGTATAGTCCCTATTCCCAGTCACTGCACATGTGATTGCAGTATATTGTAACAATCATGAAAATAGGCTGGCCAGACATCAGATTGCCATCAAGCAATCAGCAGAGGTCCCCTACAAATATTTGTTTTTCAGAATGTGAACTAACTTTAATTTACTATATTGATTCTCTTCAGCACCTGTTAAACCCCTTTGGATATTTCCTACACTTAACCATCAATGCTATCATCCCAGGGTCAGTTCCTAGGGTCATAGGATTTTAGCTTCAATTATCTTTAATATTTGTTTATTGCTCCAGCCCACAGTCTGCTTTATCAGAACTGAAATATGAAAGTATGTCAAAGATACAATACTGCCAGGAATAAGTTTACAAATGTATTGCATATCTAGTGAAGTATACTGGTAGGTATAATTTTTTAATTGGGACTTTGTTAAATGAAAATATGTTTGCTGTCCCAAGTCATTTTCTCAGTTCAAACTACAACTTAGGATACTTCTGCATCTTTATTTATTAAATTACCTGGATCTTTTCAGGTAATAAGTTCTATATGCTGGTTATGATTTGTAGAGGTAATATAAAAACCATGTAAATTACAAGTATTAATGTTGGTGTTGAACAACAAAATAAATTATTTTCTGCTGTAGAATCTTGCACCAAGCTGTAACAGATGTGAGAAAAGAAAATCTTAATCTTTTTTAAAATACCATCACAATTTTCTTGATAAAGAAATTTCTTTTTTCCCCTTCATTCTCTGGATCAGATCTCCTTATAATTTGATACTCTCTGTAAGAATATAGAGAAAAACTGTTGACTTCTATTTTTATATTTCTTTTACAAAATGAGAACAGTTTTCTAAGAAACTATTCACGAATTATGTGTCCTTAAGATCCTATACACAGTTTGGGAGAAGGTGTCTAACCTACACACTTTCCCACTGTTTGGTCATTGTTAGAAATGAATGACAAGATTAGTGCAATCATACAAAATTTCATTTTAAATGGATTCCCAGGAGCTGACTAAAATGCGATGAAGTTCTAAATAACATGTTAAAATTTACCTTATCGGGGGTAAAGCAATTTAAAGCAGATTACAGAAATGCTTTTGACTGTGGTACCTTTATACAACAATATACATAATATGTCAAATATTTTGCTTGGTGGAAATTGCACAGGTGTGTTAAAACTTTTAAGTGGGCAGCAATATTTCACTGTAATTATTGTTTAGTTTGAACTCTGTAGAACTGCTAGAAGTGTACACTATTATAAGTTTTAAACAAGGGACGTAAAATATACAAATCAGTTGGCACACGGCATGCAGTGTGGAGCTCAGGGGAACAATGATTCTACATAGGTAACCAGAAAAAATTCTCTCTTCTGGATAGTATTAGCATGTACGAGTCATTTGTTCAGCCAGCACTAAAACTATAAATAATAGATATGACTTTTTCTTTTGAAAAAAATGCAGCAGGCCTGCAAAAAATCATGCAGTTTCCATCATTCTGCAGAAATTTGAAATTATGATGTAATTCTCACATTGTGTCACATGTATAAAATGACTGCATTTGTTCAGAGAACATAAATACCTTTAACTGTTATTTAGAATTTTGCATTACAATTTGATAGTCTAACAATCTAACAAAAACACAACACAATAATTTTCTTCTAAATGTTATGCTTGCTGACCAAAAACTGTGCTCAGTTATAATATGAGGGTATATTCAATGCATGCACTCAAAGCATTCAGAATTAGTCTGTGGTAAATTTGATCCATGTATATCCAAGTTATACAGGGAACATACAACTTCAAGGCAACAATATCCACTATATCCAAGGAGTTGGGGAAGTGTGGTATGTGTGTATGTGTGTGTTGATGTAAGTGTACATATATGAATGATTGCTGAGAAATCTGTAAAAAGAAATACTCAAGTGCAATAATTTTAAGAGGTCTTAACTTTGCATTTATAAATTATAAATAATGTACCTGGTATGTATTTTTTCATGTATTCATTTGCAGTCTTTGTATTTTAAACAAACCCAAATCTTTATTATGTTTATATAATAGAGCATACCACCATTTATTATGATCTAAGTAAACTGTAAATACATTTGCAAAAAAAAAAGAAAGGAAAAAAACCCCAACAGTCAGAATATATGCATATCTGGGGAGCCAATGATGAAATTTATTTCTGCTTTAACAGCTGGCTGTAGTGCAGCAAGGTATCTTCTGTGGATATGTAATTATAAATATATGTATGATATATAAAATATTTAGAGCTGTTCATAATTTTAATTCAATATTTATCTATATACGAATATAGATAAAACACAAATGTTGTGAATATTATGGAATACAGATTTTTTTTAAAGAAAACCCTTTCATTGTTTTCCTTATTGTTATTTATTGTTTCTGGTGCTTAAGGCAAGCATAGGCCTCTGCAGGGAAGGCAAGGGAGAAAATTTTGAACACTCAAATATGTTCACATATAATCTACATGTGTGTTGATCTACATACAGGGCAAAAAAGAACAGCTTTGGGAAGCAGGTAAATGTGGCCAATAGGAAAAGCATGTGACTTTTATTTGCGTAAGGTCATAGTTTAGCTAATATTGTGGCTACCAAGCTAATCTTCATCTATTATGCCTTATGAGTTTAGGGCAGGAGGAAAAGAAAAAGTAATAAACAAACATACAAAATACTAGATAGTTTGGTCAGCTACCTTTCCCATCTCAACTGCTCCAACAGAATTTCCTTGGAGTAGATTCTGCCAATGGCTTGGGGATTTTTAAGACCTTCTTTTATCTTGGCTCTGTTTTGTGTCTTTCGGTTATTAGTCCTTCTATCTCCCTCTGCCACTAACTTCTTATTTTCAGTTAGGCCTCTGCTGTAGTCTCTGTATTTTCCACAGAGGTTTCTGGGAACCTGCATCTTATAGTCATCAATGGAATGGCTTCCTGTTCTGACAAAGTTAAATATCATGCAGAATCCAATCTAGGTTGGTCACCAGGACCAGAGTTTTTGTCTTTTGAGCTTTTAGACTCGTGCTGGAGCCCATCTTCAGGAACTTCTCTCTAGCCTAGCCGAGTCTGAAAGCTCGAAAGACAAAAACTCAGATCCCGATGACCAACACAGATTGGATCCTGCAACATTATCCTGGGACACATATTTACCTTCATTCGTGGGAAATAACATGGGATATCATACAATGGTTTAACATCCTCTCCCCTGGGTGGCCTCATTGCATTAAACCTTTAACGCACCACTTCCAAATATTATTCATTCACTGAATCCATGAAGTTTTATCATAAGAAGTACAGAAATGGCTTGCTAATGCTTTGCTTTGGGATTGTTTTTTTAAAAAAATCTTAGTATTTTTAATTCCCAGATAGTCCTCCATGCAAATACTTACCCAGACTGAGTCTGCTTAGCTTAAAAGATCAGTCAAGGTGTTATCACCAACCAAGGTTTTCAAAATGTTACATGAAAATCCTATAGTAATCTGATAAATGCTAAACATATGAAGATGTGTGAATATAAGCATTATAAACTTTCTATCAGATACACTTTCACAGAATGTATAAAACATACCATAAAATGTACATTTGTAAGGTTTCCACACCCAAGTGCAGATTTCCTTAAACTGATGCACACTAGCTGGTTGGGTAATTCTGGAAGTTGAGCTTACACACTATAAAGCTTGGGAAAGGGTACTAAAATGTATATACAATATAATTCTCTCCATTTATGATAATATGTGTGAAGTAATTATGTGCTGAGTATGCCTACACAAGTTTTATATTTTGTTACATTTTCCTGGGATCAGGTACTGTTATAGGAGAACTCATATTCATCCATTTTTGTCAAAATAGAAAATTGTACTCTGGATCAATAATAGCAACAAGTATTTCTGACGTCTCACAAATGCTTTGTTGGTTACTTTTTGCTAACCAAGTGATGTAGTAGATAACTTAGGGGTTTCTATAGGCTTCGATTTTATTGTTGCTTTTTAAACCATTTCTATGGCTGGTTCCTTACCTTGACTGATGCACCTTGACTGATGCACACATCACCACATGTTGAGTGATGTAATTCGTTTCAGTCAGATGATCAAGCAACAAAATAAGTTGCATTTTTCAAATGCAATACCTCCATGAAGAAAAGTTACCATGCAGAAACATGATATTTAGGAAAGCTTTGTTTTTTAATCAGATGTTTCTGTCCTGTGCTGTTGCTTAACAGCCACAAAGCAGAACTCGGAATGTTTGACTGGTTTCCTTGCCTACATACCAAGCTAACAGCAGATATGCCAGAGACTTTATGGAGCTTATGAAATGTAAGTTAGGGCTCAGTTTAAATGAATCTCAGTGTTAATTTATGTAGTTTTTGTAGATTATCTTGAGGGGAGGGAATGGATAAGTATTTTTCAGGACCAGTAGGATCAATGCATGAAAGCTGAACCTACAAAACAGAACTGTTATTTTACTGCTTCCTAGAAACAAACTCTTAGCAAGAATTGAATTTATTATTTTGAAGTGAATTGTAATGGATGAAAACCAAATTCAGTTTTGGTTTTCCAGCAGCTCTGGAATTTATATAAAACAGAGAAATTAAATAACATATTAACGTATTTTCATATTTACCATTTTCTAAATGTTAATAAAGAAATAATTGATATGATGGTTGTGTTAAGGCTCTATCGTTCCCATTCATGATTGGTTTGCCCCATCTGTCTTCACATTGCTTTATTTGCATTATTTTTGAGATTTTAACTAGCTGCCTAGATCAATGACGATTTCTGCTACTTATAATGCCAAAAGCAATAATCCAAACAAAAAATTCCTTGAGACTGTCATAGCAGTACATACAGTTTATACAGTACATGAAAATGTCCCAACACAGGGATTCAGAAGATAAATTCTGCCTCAGATTGTTCCAAAGCTGTCTTTTCAGCTTGTTCATTTGGAGGTGAGGTAAATGCTTTTTTGTATTTAATGTTTTCAAAGTAGACATAATATTTCTAGTAGATGAAGCTGTTCTGTCTCTAATGGCTTGAATTAATAGTAACTGTGGAGCGAGGTTTCCTAGATTCTGGAAATGACTCTTTTAAATCATACTGTTCAATTTTGGAAATCATGTTTACAAAAAGTAAGCTATATTGTGTCAAAGCTTGATGAGGAATGTGACTTATTTTTAACCTTATTTAACCTTATTTCTACTCTCGCACAAACAAAGCAACCCCACCACCTCTCAATACTGTAAATTGTCATTTAGTGTGTGTGTGCGCGCGCACACACACACACACACGTGTATATAGGAAGCCTGTAGCATTCCACAAAGCCATGGCATCCAAATCCCATCATCTTCAACCAGCGCTGTCAGTGGTCAAGGATGAGGGGAGATAATTTGAATATGACATAAATATTAAAACTAGCAGGGACATTTTCAGATGGCTGCTTCTTGTCAAGCTGTCTAGATGTTTCAGGTCATAGCTGACCTCATTCAATGAAGTCAATTCTTCTGCTTACAACCTACAGGTTGATTTAGCAGCAACTGAAGAATTCTGGTTACTCCAAGTGAATGTTTATAAATTTGATTGCCTAGAGAGAATTGCAGCAAGCAGAATAGTAGGCTCTTAGAAAGACTTACCATAAAACTATATAATCTGTGATTTCAGAATCACATGCATTACCTACCAAAGTCTTGAGTATGAATCCCAGAGAGCCTTCAGAAATTGCTGTGAACAGTAATTTAATGTGACACAACAGGAACGCAAAGCCAAATACAGAATAATCAGATTATCATATTAACTGAGCTCAAATTATTTTAAATCCTGGTCCTGTTCACTTTTGGAATGCAGGTGGTATATGCCACTCAGAAGTGCACATCAACATTTGCATCAAAAAAAGCATTTCTGGTGGTTCATTTAGTTGCTTAATATCAAGAAATAATATAAATGCTTATGAATATACACCACCTATCCCTGCAGATTTAAGCTGAGTCCATTGGCAAGTCTCTGCAGAATATTTTTTTCTTGATTTCCAGATATGTTTGTAGATGATAAAGGGACTTGAAATTCTGACCACAGGTTTCAAAGGAGCTCTTTAGTTTACTTACACAAAAATTCTATTATCCCAGGAAATCTTCAAGTGTCTCTGTTTGGGAAAAAAACCCCATACTCTTGAAAGTCTGATGGCATATTCATCTAGGACTTCAAAATTGAACATATGCCTACAGCGATGCAAGCTCAGAGAATTCCAAGAACCCAACAATGATAAACTTTATTTAGGAAAATAAGATAGTGATAGGAAAGCCTGAGTTACTTAAGTCTATTTACAGTAAGAATCTGAAAGGTCTCTTTTGGATCATGGAGGACCTAACTGTACAAATCAAAGTCAGAAGAGAAGAGGTGCTAAACTGAGTGGGAAGGGATGTATTAGTTCTGAAAGTATTAGGCAAATCATCAGGAGGCATGTTACATGCTAAGTAATAAGTCTTCTAGACAAGGAAGTTATCAAAAGTGCAGCATTCCCTTGCTGATTATAGGTACTCCTTGACCACAACTGAGCCCAAAATTTCCACTGTTAAGCAAGGCAATTGTGAAATGAGTTGTGCCCCATTTTACAACCTTTATACCTAATTGCAGTTGTTAAGTGAATCATGTGATTGTTAAATGAATTTGGCTTCCCCCATTGGCTTTGCTTGTTGGAAGCTGGTTGGGAAGATCATAATGGTGATCACATCACAGTGCAGTTGTCATAAATACATGCCAGTTGTCAAGTGTTTGAATTTTGATCATGTGTCCCTGGGGGATGCTGCAACAGTCATAAATGTGAAAACCAATCATAAGTCACTTTTTTTCAATGCCGTTATAACTTCGGTCACCCTTCTCCGGAGACTCAGGGCGGCTTACAATGCGTTAAGCAATAGCCTTTATACTTTTGTATATTTATACAAAGTCAGCTTATTACCCCCACAATCTGGGTCCTCATTTTACCTTCCTTAGAAAGGATGGAAGGCTGAGTCAACCTTGAGCCTGGTGAGTTTCGAACCTGCAGAAATTGCAGGCAGCTGTGTTAATAACAGGGTGCATTAAACCACTGTACTACCAAGGCTACCAATATTTATTTATTGGTTCATTGGTTCATTGGCTCGTTCATTTGTTCGTTCATTCATTCATTCAATTTTGCTGCCATCTAAATCCAGTTGAAAGTTTATAAGCGCAGCAAGCTGCATGCCAGATTAAATACCAACAAAATGGTATTGGTCATTGGACTGGGGCAATGTATAATGAAGATATAGAACATGTCTTTTCCAACTTGCTGAGGGTCTGTATATGGCATGGCCAGGGGCTCCCCCATACATTGGAAGTAATGACTGCATTACCTTTTGCAAAATGAGAATATAAAACTAAGTCCATTTATTAATTAAAAAAAGACAACATTTAGAGACACATTCTCTAAACAGCAAGGATTATTCATGCTGGTGAATTTGATTAGCTTATAGAAGGCTCGTGCAATAGAATAATGGTGTTGGTAGTGGCAGTGGGTTATTAGTTTTGAAAAATTAAGTTCCTGTTAATTTTTTGTAAGAATGGAGCTTAAAATGCCTGCCATGAATGGAGAATGTTTTCTAAGGATATAATTATATCTCCTCAAATGGACATTTGAATTCATATTTTATTATGATGTGTAATTATTATTTATTATTTGTAAAATTTATTGGCCCCCGATATTACCTTGGGGTAACTCTAAAATGATTTTCAACTATACTTGATTCTTTACCACTACATAATGTGGTATTCCTACTAGTCTACTGATACTACTATTCTTCTTAAGATGAAGAATATTTATCCCTTATTTTGCCCCCAAAAGTTGTCCTCTAAAATTTAATGGTAAAAATATTTGTTTTTCAACTGCACGGGGTTTAAAAATGTTTCAAACCTTGAGGACAGCTCTTCTAGGAGGCAATGTAGCTTGACAAGAAAACTGACCCCTGTGAAATCACACATGTCCAGTCAGAGTATGGGGAAATGAGGTGAGGGGAAAAAATATTTTGCTACTGGGATGGATTTACACCCCTTTTTAGAAGAACCCCTAGTACTAATAAACTTTAATAATTGGAAATTACCCATCCCAATTAAAAGGGTCTGAAAAGTTTATCTAAATACCCTCTGATGAGATCTCTTTGTCACTTTGATCTCACCCACCAAACTCTGAGGCCAAATGTCTTCTACAGCCTCCAAATTGTTTCCTTTCTGTGTCCTGAGGGGTGCAAAATGAAAATAAAACATTCTGCTTGCTAACAGTTGCATTTCTTTTGTATCTCTTAAACTATTATGGACATAAAGAATGAATGAGTATCAGTTGTTGAGAATTCCTTCAAATTTATAGCCCTTTTCATGGAGTAGGAAGAGATTAGTTAACCTATGCTAATAATCAATGGTGACTTTTCTCACTCTGCTACCGCAAAATATAGTAAATGGTTAGGATATATAATATATAGTATATCCTAACTAGTGTGTATATGTGTGTATAAAGGAAATTATTAAACTATTATAATATATATAATAATATATAAGGTAAAGGTAAAGGTTCCCCTGCACATGCGTGCTAGTCATTCCCGACTCCAGGGGGCGGTGCTCATCTTTGTTTCTAAGCTGAAGAGACAACGCTGTCTGAAGACGTCTCCGTGGTCATGTGGCCGGCATGATTAAACACCAAAGGCGGAGCGCTGTTACTTTCCCACCAAAGGTGTTCCCTATTTTTCTACTTGCATTTTTTACGTGCTTTTGAACTGCTAGGTTGGCAGAAGCTGGGACAAGTAATGGGAGCTTACTCTGTTATGTGGCGCTAGGGATTCGAACCGCTGAACTGCTGACCTTCTCATTGACAAGCTCAGCGTCTTAGACGCTGAGCCACAACAATCCTCACTCCCTCCCCCCCTCTCTATATAGAGAGATTTTACAACTAATTTTCCAAGGAAAATTAGTTGTAAAAATTACAGGTTAAATTGTTTTAAATTGGCTCTGACAATGTGATGGATTTTTTTTGGTTCTTCAAATGATCTTTTTGGAGTGAAGAATAATCTTGCTCCATTTTTAAAGATGCATTTGGGAATATAGATCTATAGATCTTCTAAAATACCTAGCTCAATAGTTTTTGTTATTGGGTTTTTTTGTTTTTGTTTTTTTGAATCACTGTTGATTCCTGGTGGCTTTCTGGTCAAGTCCCTACAGTTTTCTTGGCAAGATTTCAGAAGTGGTTTGCCTTTGCTTTTTTCCAAGGGCTGAGAGAGAGTGATTGGCCCAATTTACCCAACTGATTTCATATCTAAGGCGGGACTACAATGCTAAGTGCTTAAACAATTCCCCAAATGCAGCCATCAAACATAATTACACAAATGGTAACCATGAAAGCAAAATGTGTAACTTTGCTTCAGCCAAAATCCACTGAACACTGTTCCCAGATGCAAGTACATTGTGGCACATATTGTGTGTGTTCATAAAATCTGCCTCACCTTTTGCATTTAGCTTTCTCTTCTCCATTGCACTATGATGTAAAATGGATTAGTAAGTTTGACAAAGCCCTCTTCCTGAAATAAAATAAAGCTTGGGAAATAAAAGTTAGCATTTTGTTGCCCAGGGAAGATCTATTTATCCCTATGTATAGATTGCCCTACAGAGACAAATTGCCCTATAGTTAGCCAATAGTTAGCCTTGATAGGTAAAGTATATGCAGCACATACTTTACCTATCAAGGTAAAGTATGTGATGCACATTTCAGTCAAATAGTCTAGGTGAAAATGAAAGATGTTGAAATGCGTTTTTCCTTTTGCTGCTTGCTGATGATTTTCTTTGTGTGTATAGAGACTAACATTTCATATGGCAGAAAGGAAGCAAAAATCCCATCTGTCAGAGCTTTTAGATGATGTGGAAAAGGCTCACAAATCTGAGATTCGGCTCTATGTGTCAGGCCACCTAAACCATAATAAGCTCTTCAAGCCCCCTAAATCTGCAAAATACAACTATTGGGAGAGTTCCAAAAAACCCACCTTATCGTCTGCCAAAGAGGATGCCCTTGGAGGACCCCATGAAATGCTGGAAAAAGTTAGCAGCGGCAAAGATGTTCCTCCAGTGCCCATCCGTGCCAAATCTGCTTCCCTATTGGGTTATCAGTCCCCAGTTCATCCGGCCAGGTTTAGAGCACCAGTAAGCGTGTCACTCAATACCGCTGCTTTCAAACGACAAAAGAAGGAGGCTCCTGAGAAACCCGAAGATGAAGCCGGCACACTTCCAAAGCAGCTTATACGAGAAGAGCTGGACATTCCAGAAATGAAATTGTTGAAATACAGACGAATCAAGAGCAGCAGGCTTTGTGTCACAGGGGAGTTTAAAGACGAATACCGGTTCTTACCTTCCTATCTGGCTGGTGTGACTAAAAAGGACCAATATAACAAGTTCATGCAAGTTCAGAAGGAGTACGTTGCCAAGCAGGATTTGCTGGAGAATGATTTCATTGGGAGCAAGTCAACAGAGCGCCATGAAAAAAAGTTGGCCCAGGTAAGTCAGTGGGTCCAACGGAATTGTAATGTCTGTGCATTGACATGTGAAAAGTCACAGATAAACCACACTTTATGCCAGTGGTTTTATTTCTACGCTGGGTTCAGTACAGATGCATGAACTGTAATTTTCAGCATCAGTAAGTAGTGATGATGGCTCAAAAACATTCTTATTGGCCTTCAGTATTTTCTGTTAAAGATTTTAGAATTGGGCTTAAGTCTATGTTTAAACATAGATGCAAATTTTTCCTTCTTTGTGTATATGTGTGTGTTTAATTACTAAAAAGGGATTAAAACAAACATGGATCCCTGCTGGCCTTAAATGATCCTCCCACCCAAATTAAGGAAATCCCTAGTTGTATTTGATAAGTATGTTGCCAGGAGGTTCCAGATCTTAGAAGTCAAACCTGCCTCCCATGTCTACCACATTTTACAATGTGCAGTTAGGCAAAAGGTCTTGCAATCTTCAGCTCTGAGCTTCCAGGAAGGATAAGAAAAGTTATAAAGTGATTTCAAATCCAGATAGGACCCTCTAGGACCCTCACAGTGACTTCTTATGGATAGTAAAAAAAAAGGTAGAGAATTCAGAAATCGTAAGGAGTGAAATTCCAGCTGAAGAAGAAATTTTATATATATATTGGTCATAATAATCTTTCGACTTGTTTCATAGACTGCACGTAGAAATCAAGCCAAAACAACTAAAGTAACCTTGTAAATGGATTGTCTTTCAGGCACTTCAGAATATCTGTGACTGCAGACGTCCACATTTCTACCGATTACAAGCTATTGGTGAAGTGTTTGAAGATATCTGTAATAGTTCCTTGATATTTGGTGACATATTGAAGGAAGTGAAAGTAGGTGTTGTGCCTAGTATTTTAAAATGTCTTAGGTAACTCAGCCAACTCGATGCAAAGATTAATAAAATATTCTATAAAACAATATTCAATAATTTTTCTAAAAATATAAAATGTTCTATAAAAGGCCTAATGAGGTCTAGTGGTTAAGGCACTGGATGAGAAACCAGGAGACTATGAGTTGTGGTGTTGCCTTAGGTAGGTGAGTAACTTTGGGCCTGTCAATTTTTCTCAGCTCAACTCACCTAATACAATTGTCGTGGGTAAAAGAGGAGAAGGAAGGAGTATTATGTATGTTTGCTGTTTTAATTATACAAATAGTAAAGGTGGGAAAAGATAGAGATAGAGATAGAGATAGATAGATAGATAGATAGATAGATAGATAGATAGATAGATATGGATGGATGGATGGATGGATGGATGGATGGATGGATGGATGGAGTTGTCAACCCTGAAGCTGGGCTCTCTGAAGCCACTTTGAAGCTTTGGTGTTGCCACACTGGAGTTGACGGATAGGAAGGGAGGGAATAGAGATAACTGGGGTTTTGTAGCCAAAACAAAATACTTTCTCCTGGGAACCAAGGACATTTCCACAGGTGGAGAGAGAGAGGGGGGGAGGGGGGAGGAATGAAGTTACCAGGCAACTAGACGGTACCTTGATTGGACCACATGACTGATTGTTTGGGAAAGGGGAAAAACTTTTACTTTTAATTAGATGAAAACCGTGGGAACCTTCAGACTCGGTTTCCCCCAGAACTGTGCTAATATGATATATCCAATAAACTATTCTTTCAGGAATCTACCTGCCTCAGAATTCTGTTTGCTATGAGTGTATTACTTGGAACCCTGACAGGGGGAGGAAAGGCCTGCAATGTCAGGAGTGAAATTAGATGCTCTTCAATGTGAAGAAAAGAAGGAGAAAGGAGAAAGTTTTCATAGCTTCTTGACATGTTTAGAGTCTGATTTGTAGCTTGGAATGCATTAGAGAGCTGATGGAAGAGGTGTGAATGTATGTATTTCCACCATAGAGCTTTTGAAATACTGTTGGAATGTAATTTGCTCATACAGATTTTGGCATGTTATTGCAGTCTGGAAGGAAGCTGTGTCTAAACAGTTGAGATTTTATCCTTAAATGTACCATGCTTAAATAGTATAATTTCAGTAATTTCTGACAAACAATTTTGCTTGATAATACACAAATAACCACAAAAACGAAGCAAAATCCTGTAAATACTTAAAGGAATTTATACAGTAGTGGTTACTTCTTTAAAACATGCACAAAATTCCAATCAATTAATTTATCATCAATTAATTTAAAGGAAGGAATGTACAATATTTAACTAATTCAGTGGGCAAAATTATTTTAGAATGGTGATAATTTAATCACAGTTTGATTCCAGGGTGCCTTGCACTAAACTTGGATTTTATTTAACTGTCTGCAAACTCTTTCTGACTTATCTTTTTTTTTTTTTTTGGCTCTTTTCTACAGAATGAATATGAGCTCTACATGGTGATTCTGCTGGATTCTTTGCCTTCAATGCAATACAGAGTAATACTATTTTATTTTGATGTAAATTAATGCCTACTACCGGAACTCTTTTGTTGTAAAAGAATTAGTTTTTATTGTTTTGGGGTGGTATGTAAAGTATGACCTATTGTCACAAATCATGTTCTAGATGCCCCTGGCTTCCAAGACCATATCACCCAAGTACTTCTTATTTTATTTTCATCTTTAATCTGGGATTTCTTTCTATATCTAATAGATTCTGTTTACTAGTACAATTGCCTTACAGTGTCCAACTGAAGGGGCTGAATAGTTTGCGCAAATTTAGGCTATCATTAGCGAGAGAATCAGTTTTTTGGAAATGCTCTCTTTAGAGGGACACCTTCATGCAAATATAACACAACAGGCTAATTGTTAGACTTTTTCCTGGAAATTTACTAAGTGGAGAATCACATCCTCACTGCCTAAAGAACAATCCTTTCATCTGCTTCTTCTTTCAATTTAGTCTCTATCTTGCTGTGTTGTATTTCAAGATGTTCTGCATTTGTAACTAGTTGTTATGGCCTGCCAGCGGCCAGCAGAACGGGCAGCAGATTCAGACAGTGAGGAGATTGAGGAGGAACATGGGCCAGTCCTGGAGACTGGGGAAGGCTCGGATAAGGGCTCTGAGTCGGAGGCAGAGAGGGGGCCAAGGCCATCTGGTAGTTCTTTGCTGCCTCTGGAGTCTCTGGAGTCTGACATCAGCGAGGCAGAAGAACAGTGGGTACCTGTTCCCAGTGTGCACATGCACAGAGCTGCCAGAAGACAGAAACAATTAAGAAAACAGGGTCAATTTGAGAGTAAGGCTTGGAGATGATTGGCCCCTCCCATAAGATATAAAAGAGAAGCCAATGGGACGTGATCTTTTTCAGGAAGCAATTAGTTCATCTGGTCAGTAAAAGCTTTGGAAAAGCTCTGTTTGACTCTGTGCTAAGTTTGGCCTTGCCCTGCATGTGGCAATTAGTTCTCTGGCAGCATTCCAAGGGAGATAAGGTGGGTGTTTGTAAACACTCCCCTGAAAGACTGTTTGAGAAGCCTTTCGGACTGGGAATGACAATAATTCACAGCTGTATGAATTAAAGAGGTTTGCCGGGACTAAGATTGTGCTGTATCCTTTCTAAGGAAGCCTAGGTCAGAACACTAGTCTTGAAAAATGTGTAGCAGTGCTCTCTCTCACTCTCTCGCTCTCTCCCTCCCTCCCCCCTCCCTCCCTCCCTCCCTCTCTCTCTTTTTCTCTCCACATGTGCACACAGACACAGCACAGCTAATGTTTTTGTCTCCATAAATAATCACAAGTATTAGACTATCTTTCTTCCAGGCTCTCGTACACCTTCTGTTAGGAAAACTCCTCTCAAAACTTTGTGCCATGACTATGTGAGAGCTTCCATATAAGGGGAAATTGCTCCTTAGTTCAGGCTCAATAGTCCTTTCACATATCATTGCAGACATTATGCTTTTCAATGGTGCTCATTCATTCCGTAGTGAGGTATATTCAGCACTCAAATGATGTACAACAAACGAGAACCCATTCTATGTGTGTGAAAATATAATGTAGACAATATTATTGTTTTTCATGACAAATGATCAGAATTTTTGTCTGAGTGTTGGGGGAAGCGTGTTAACTGGCATATCTTGGAATATGTTTTTGATAGCTTTATAAAAGCATTGTACTTAACATTGTTGATTTGCATTCTTCCATCAAAATGAAAAGAAAGTTTTGTTGGGGAAGTAGTAAACAAGATGTCCTTCAGTGGCAAATCCCAGGATTCTTCCTTATTGACTTTACAGGCTGAAAGGACTGGGCATCAGCATTGTTTGTTTGTTTGTTTGTTTGTTTGTTTGTTTGTTTGTTTGTCCAATTTATATGCCGCCCTTCTCCGTAGACTCAGGGCAGCTTACAATGCATTATAGCAATAGCCTGCATACTTTTTTGTAAATACCTGCTTATTAGGGCTTTCGGGGGCCCCTAAGCGGTGTTGTTCTATACAAAGTTGGCTTATTGCCCCCACAATCCGGGTCGTCAATTTATAGCATTAATCAATGGATTCCCCAATTTGGTTGAAAACTAAATCTTAATTCTTGGTAGGAAAGACAGATTTGTAAGGTGTCCGATTAAGAAAAAAAATGCATAAGTTGGCTTTGCTACAGGTATTAGTTTTCTTTATGATTTAAATGTTTCATTTAGTTTCATTTTTTTTTGGATAACAACATAGACTTTGCAAGAGCAAGTCAAAGGCATGAAAAAAAGAATGGTGATGACTCATGAAATAGAAGAGAACAGACAGACAATACAGGACCTTGTGCAGAAAAGCAAATTGGCTTTAGCAAGAAATGAAGAGTGAGTTGTGTAAATGTGCAATATTTATATGACATAGAATCAACAGTTTACTGTTAAATTATCCAGGCCACTCTTTTGGTTTGTTATTGTATATCACTTTTATGTTAAAAGTGTTAACTGGTCTCTTTTGTATGTCCAGTGCAGCATCTTTTCCCACATCATTCATTTCCCAAGATGCACATTTGATTCTATATATAAAAAACAACCTCCCGTCAAAAAGGTCTGCCCCTCATTCAGAACCTCTCATCACCTAATTCATTCTTTCATATTAACCAATTAAATCATGCTTTTAGATTTATATTCATTCCTTTGCCATGTGTATATTTGAACCAACTTATGCTTAAAATGCATACTTTAAACAGACCTTTTTCTAAGCAGATAATGACAGTTTGCCATTGTCATTTGTATTTGCGTTTTTGAAGATATGGACTGTATGCCCTCCTTCCCTCCCTCCCTCCCTCCCTCCCTCCCTTCCTTCCTTCCTTCCTTCCTTCCTTCCTTCCTTCCTAGTTCAAATTATATTTTGCACATAGTATTTGCCAGGCAGCCAAGGCAGTGATGAAATCCAAATATTTTTACTACTGGTTCTGTGGGTGTGGCTTGGTGGGCATGGTGTGGCTTGGTGGGCATGACTTGGTGGGCATGGCAGGGGAAGGATACATCAAAATTCCCATTCCTCCTCACTCCTGGGGGAAGGTTATTGCAAAATCTCCATTCCCACCCCACTCTGGGGCCAGCCAGAAGTGGTATTTGCCGGTTCTCTGAACTACTCAAAATTTCCGCTACCGGTTCGCCAAACTGCTCAAAATTTCTGCTACTGGTTTTCCAGAACCTGTTAGAACCTGCTGGATTTCACCCGAGCCAAGGGCATCATGACATAAACATATGCTTCTCAGCATGGTGCCATGGATGCCAATCTATTCATGAGTCCATCCTTTATTGTCTATCAGACTCCCTGATATACTCAGTATTTGAAAATCTATATTATCTTAATTCTTTTAAAATTCAGTGTGTGGCTGCTATATTTGAACATATTTATTTTCTAAGAATGCCTCTGGACCCAATCAGTGGTGGGTTGCCCCCTGTTTGGACTGGTTTGCAAGAAACAGTAGTAAAACCGGTAGGAGGCCCCACCCAATGCCCCGGATGTCATCATTGGCAATCTGCGCATGCGCAGAAGTGTGATCCCATTCCGAACCGGTAGTAAAGGTAAGTAGAACCCACCCCTGGACCCAGTCTATGGACTGAAGACATATTACATGGACGTGTAATTCAAGTCTACTTTTTTGTTTTTTCTGCCCAGAAAAAAATGGGGAGAGTAACTGTATGCAAAACTGAGTCAATTCTTGCATTGTTGGCAAACTTAGTAATGGTATTTCCTACAGTCAGCTCTTCCCCTTCTTCACTGGGTGGAAAAACCATGCAACTTGCTTGGATTTAATGAGAGATTTCTCTCTCCATTGTTTTTTTTTTTTTTTCCTATTTTAGACTTAGAAATAAATTGGAAATTGAACTTTGGGTGAGCCAGACTGATAGAAGAGCAACAGGTAAGTAATAAGATTACATGGAATGAGAATCTACTGACATATATATTGTATGCCTTGTAGACCTTAAAGGAAAATGGTCAAATGAGAGACTTGTCTTGTCCTCCCCTAGAAGTGTATCACATTGACTGCCCTTGTCAGCAGGTCCTTTCATGTCATGTCTCAAGAGAAACCCTTCAGTAAAAGTTCTTGTTCTTTCTTTGCCCACAGAAAAGGAAGAAGGTGATAAAGCAGGGATAGAAGCCACTTCTAAAGCCAGTGCTGAGCTGCTGACATCTCTGAGGTGCCAAATCATTATGAAATGGGAGGAAATTCAAGCCATTGAGAAAGAAATTAAAACCACGATGACTTTCAGTGGCATTATAAATATTAAACAAAAGACTGTGAAAGAATTAGAGGTAAGGCATGAAGTTTAAGTTTGGTGATTAGAAATAGGATGCTTCAGGGCTTTGAAACTATCATTTACCAACAAATGCTCTATCTTACACATCGGCAAAAAGAACCAGAACACAAAATACAAGTTGAGTGGACACGACCTTGTAGATGACCCTCACTTTGTCAAGGACCTTGGAATACTCATATCTAATGATCTAAGTGCCAAAGCCCACTGTAACAACATCGCCAAAAAGGCATTAAGAGTTGTAAACCTAATCTTGCATACTGTAGCTTCTTCTCCGGTAATATCACACTACTAACCAGAGCATACAAAACATTTGCTAGACCAATTCTTGAATACAGCTCATCTGTCTGGAACCTGCACTGCATTTTGGACATTAATTCAACTGAACACGTCCAGAAATATTTCACAAGAAGAGTTCTCCACTCCTCTGCTCGCAACAAAATACCTTATGCCACCAGACATGAAATTCTAGGCTTAGAAAACTTAGAACTACGCTGCCTTCGGTCTGACCCAAGCATAGCTCATAAAATTATCTGTTACAATGTCCTATTGTCAATGACTACTTCAGCTTCAACTACAACAATACACGAGCACACAATAGATACAAACTTAAAGTGAACCACTCCAAACTCGATTGCAGAAAATACGACTTCAGCAACAGAGTGGTCAGTGCCTGGAATGCACTACCTGACTCTGTGGTTTCATCCCAAAACCCCAAAAATTTTAACCTAAGACTGTCTATTGTTGACCTCCCCCATTCCTAAGAGGTCTGTAAGGGGCATGCATAAGAGCACCAGCGTGCCTACTGTCCCTGTCCTAATGTTTCCTCTATTCGTATCTATTTTATGTATTCAATTCATGCTTATACTTATACAAATTACCTAATACGTTCTTGACAAATAAGTAAATAAAATAAATAAATCTACTGATAAAGGAGATTATTTGTAGGTCAGGGTTGAAATGAGGATCCCTGGTGCTCTCTATGTAACCTAGTTTGGGTAATGAAATGTCAAGAAAACAGCCAGGCGCAGAGAACACCTAGGACTCCTCATGCTATTGTCTCTTTTAGATCTAACAATAAATCATGATTTCTGTTTACAAGAAAAGCCTGCCCAGGCTAAGTCTGAGATTCACACATTCTACCATTCCTCATTCTCCCTCTCTTTAGGTGTGGTTCCATTCTTAACTAGACACATAGTTCAGTCTTAGAAATAATGAATTATGATTTGCAGAAACATACGTGAACAATGCCTTCGTTCACACTAAGCCACCCCAGTTTGTAAATCAGTCTTTATTCAGAAACAGACTATGTTTAGTTAAACTACAGTTTAATCCAGGGAGTGTAACTTCCTGAGACTATTCTATACAGTAGCTACTCCTCTTTGGAATTGGGTCCTTTCCCTTAGGGTCTCCCAGAAGAGGTGAAAATCCAAATTCTTCCAGGAATTGGGACTTAATTATAAAGAATAGCATTCAATTGATTTTAGCTTACTGCTTTAGTATTTAAATTGAAAAATTAGATCTGGATTTACTAATTTAATTATTATGAGGATGTAGATTGTTGGGGGCAATATGCTGTCTCTGTAAACTACTTAAAGAAGGCTGTAAAGCACTATGAAGAGGTATATAAGTCTAAGTGCTATTTCTATTATTTTATATATTTTTTAATAAAATATAGTTTTATATTTTTATTGTAAGACCAGCCAACTTTTGGAGATGCTTTGATTTCCTGCATTGAATAAGGGTTTGGATTTGGTAGCCTAAATATAACTCTGTACTGTTATGATCCCCTTGTGTATATACTGGATTGTATATATGTGTACATGACTGTAAGAGGAGAGCATTATTTATATTATCTTTGTCAGTGGTGGGATTCTTCTGGTTTAACAACCGGTTCTGTGATCGTGCGCTTCATGTGCACCTGCACCAGACGCGCGCTGTGCGTGTGTGCACAGTTGAATGAAAAATCACCTTCGACATTAGTGCTAGGGAATTAAAACAGATGAGGCATGGCAATCTGCTCTGCCGCGCTAATCAGCTGCGAAGATAAAGGTAAGGAAAGAGCAGGGGCGGGCAGGCGGGCCCAGCTGATCGTCGGAACAAACCGGTTCGCTCCCAGCTGATCGTCGGAGTAAACCGGTTTGCTCCCAGCTGATTGTCGGAACTACCGGTTCGCCAGAACCGGTCCGAACTGGTAGAATCCCACCCCTGATCTTTGTGCAGAAGCAGGCCATTGTCATCTTTTCATAATACTTTTTCTCCTGTAGATCAATACAAAATCCACAAAGGTTCCTTCAGGTGAGGTTAGGTATATCCCTGTTAATGTTCTGTATGTTCTCCAAGAGCAGAGTATGTTATCTTGCCTGGGGGTGCCAGGGGATTGGTGATTTAACATGGGTCCACTATTGTGGTTAATATTTTGTTGTTTGTGGTTTTTGTATTTTAATAATGACTTTTATGTTTTTAATAATGATTTTTTAATATATTAGTTATTTTATCGTGAGCCCATCTCACTTATCATGAGATGGGCAGCCATATAAATGTGATAAATAAATAAACAAACAAGCAAGCAAGCAGAGACTTCTCTCACATGGAAATGAAGGTTTAGATATAGGTAATGAAGAGTCCAAAGTAGGGAATCGCGGGTAACTTCATAAAATCTCTGACTCATTAGAAAACAGGTTCAGATGCTTGTTTTTTTTTAAAAGCACAAGCTAAGGTGAGCCTAAGATGGAACTAGATCCCACATTATCCAATTTCTGGTGCCTTAACCACTCTACCAAAGTGCTTGCTTATTGAAGACAATAGCATTGTTATTTTTATACTTAGACTCTAATATAATATTAAACTATATTTGATAAAAGATTGATAATCATTTACTGATGAATAGATATAGTGAAATAATTCAGAAATCCTGTGTTCATGGCTTTTGCAGGCAGAAGCAAGCAAACTTGAGGCCTCAAACAAGTTTTTAAAAATACAAATAAGGGTAAGTTTATAGAGCGGTGCTTTGGGCTTGACCTTGCCAAAACAGACATGACCTATTTGGGGCCTGATTTATAGATGGAGATGAGAAGATCTTTCCAGAGAGTAACAATAAAATCTGCTCTGATTGAAAGGAAACAGTATGCAAAGATGATGGTATCAGAGTAATGGAATAGTGGAAGTATAGTATGAAGCTGCCCATCTGAATTGCTCCTCCTTATAGACTACCCTAAGGTCATTTGGAGCAAGTGTTGGTGTTGTGGCCCACCAGCTGCCAGCGGAGCTGGTGGCAGACTTGGATGATGAGGAGGTTGGGGAGAAATGTGGACCAGTTCTGGAGTCTGGAGAAGGCTCTGGTGGATGCTCTGCATTGGACGCAGAGATAGAGCCAGGGCTGTCTCATATTTCCCATCCACCAGAGAGGCAGCTGCCTTTGGAGGCTGATATGAGTGAGGCAGGGGTGGGTTCTACTTACCTTTACTACCAGTTCGCAACGGGGCCGTGCGCATGCTCTTCTGCGCAATGCTCTAAAATCTGCTACAGGTTTGCTTTGTGTGCAGCACAGCTGATTGTTACACAGCTGATTGTCGGAACTTTTTTTTTTCTGTTCAAGCATTTTTTACTACCAATCTGGTAGTAAAAAAATGCTTAAAAAGTAAAAAAAAAGTTCCAACGATCAGCTGTGCAACAATCAGCTGTGCTGCACGATCGTCAGAACCTTTTTTTTTTTTTACTTTTTAAAACAATTTTTTTTACTACTGGTTCTGGTGAACCAATAGTTAAAAAATGTTTAAAAAGTTAAAAAAAAAAGTTCCAACAATCAGTTGTGTGACAATCAGCTGTGTGACAATCAGCTGTGTCGCTCGATCGTCAGAACTTTTTTTTTTACTTGTTTTTAGCATTTTTTTACTACCGATTCAGACGAACTGGCCCAAACCGGTAGCATTTCACCCCTGTGTCCTTCTTTGCTTGTTTAAATATCTGGTAACCTTGTTCATAGATGCTCACAACAATATCAGTCTTTGAATCCTGAAGACTGTGATTGTCATATACCATCTTTGCTACTCACGTCTTTTAGAAAATGTGGATCCCACTTTGACCATGCCTAGATTCCAGATGAGTGTGAGACAGAATCAAAACTGGCTTGATGAGATGAGGGGGCAGGAAGGGGAAAGGAATTAGAGTTGGAGACAAGTCCTCTGAAATAAATTGTTCCCAAACTTCCTCTCTGCACATTACTAAATTTGCTCTGACGTGATGGAAATAAATTGGTAATGCAGTGAAGGAAAAAGAGTGATTCAGTCCACTCTTAATTTTTTAAAATTTCTATCTCAGAGGGGTTGGGTTGAGGAGGAGTGGCCCAAACTCACCCAGTTTTCATGGCTAAGGCAGGATTAGAACTCACAATCTGCCACTTTCTAGCCTGGTGCCTTAACCACAAAACCAGACAGGCTTTCTCTTTTTTAATAGTTTGAGAATAAATATGGGCTGTAACCAACATTTATTTATTTTTCACATTTCTAAACCACCCATCTCCTTCAAAGAGGGACTCTGGGTGCTGTACAATAAAACATCAAAAATATAAAAACAGTATATAAAAATTAAAATGTTAGAACTAAAATTCAAGAATGTGTTTATTCTGCCCTGCAGGTTATTATCGGGGGCATCCTAGGTATAAGATCTGGGGATAAGCAGGCCTGCTTTGTGCTACCTTCCTGCTCTGCATTAACAGCGCATATTATATTGTTTCCAATGGCTGTTGCAAGGAGTCTGAAGGAGTCTGAAGGGTACTAAGAATGGCACCTGTTAGGCATGACTAAAGATGCCTGAGATAATAAATAATGATGCATTTTATAGCTTTGTAATGCAAAATGTAATAATCGGATCTTGAACTGTTTTGTGTGATAGGATGCTGAATATAGTATCAGAGCATCACTAAGAAGGCAGAAGTTAAATGAAGCAAACCAGGGGTAAGTCTGAAGGTTTTAATGGAAGCCAGATAGGATTTAAATTCTACTAGAATTTATTGGCCATCCTTGGCATTTACCCCTATTTCCAGGGCTAACAACTGGATCCATGTAATGTAGTACAAACAGTGGAATAAAGTCCTGCATATATCATGAGAATGTTTTCTTTATCTCTGCTTAAACAAGAGGTTGGGCTCATCAGAAATGGAATGAAGTTCTTTCCATATGAAAATTATTACTTCCAAAACAATTTTTTATTAATTTTACACACACACACACACACCTACCACAGGTTCTTTCCCACAATATAATTTAAAAATTAGTACTAATTTACAGAAGTAAGTGCCTCACTGGCTCCTGGCTACAGGCAAGAAATCAAGGTTATGTAGTATGAAACATTTGGAGTGCAGAAGATTGTCTTCCCCTGTTATACACATTTCATTACTCAATGGATTTTTTTGTTAAGCAGATGTGCCTAGAATGGTGCTAATGGTGTTACTTACATTCTGAATAACCGCATTGCTATGTATACTCAATGCAGGGCTGTGTAATGATCTCACCGCTTAGTGCTATGAAAACTAAATTTGATTATGAAAAAACCATGTGTACTAATATCTTTTTGAAAGTTTTTATATGGTGTTAACATCCATGCTTATGAGTTGTTCAACAATAGTTCTATGGCAGTTTTTGATAAACGATGTGAAGCTCTGATGATGAATGATCATACATCACCAACAGTCCTTTGAACATGAACTAATTCCCATTGGTAATTACTAATTAATACATGAATAATTATTGACAAATTCCCATTAGTAGTTATTATTGCTCAGCCAATGGAAGGATTTTCCAGGGTGAAGAAAAACATCTGCTATTGTCCATTATACCATGAAAAGAGACATACATATTATAAAAGCAAGAGGAAGTTTAAGAGGGTAAGGTCAGCTTGCATTCCTGCAAGAAGAATGAAAATAATTATGACGGGAATGCAAAAAGCACAAAAACCAACCTACTTTGCTTGTTAATGATATGCCTTATTATTTTAAAACTTCAGAAATACGCTATCCAAAAATTATTAAAAGTAATAATCAAGTCATTTAGTTACAGATAATGGAACACCAGTTTAATTAGTCTTGTAGAGCCTGTTAATAATTAAAAGTAATTAGCTCTGAGACAATTAAAGAAATGCCCTTATTAAAGGTTTTTTTTTTTAAAAAAGCACTAAACTCCTAAGATAATGTTCTAGTTTGCTCCCAGTAAAGTGCAAATTTGCACTGTTTTAAATAATATGATGAGGTGAGAATATTTGCACAAGATAGCTCATACATGAGAGTGCTCTCAAATTTTGTTCCCCTTATATTGTGATGATTGTTTTGGAAGTGTGTGAAGTATTTGTGAAGCTTCACTGGTATTTCTCAGCAACTTTCAGACCTGTGGGCTTCCAACTCCCAGTATCCCCTAGCCAGCATGCTGGCAGAGGAGTTGATGTCCACATATTTTAAAGTTGTTGAGGTTGAGAAACACTGCTCTACACCAGGGGTCTCCAACCTTGGCAACTTTGCTGGCTGAGGAATTATGGGAGTTGAAGTCCACAAGTCTTAAAGCTGCCAAGGTTGGAGGCCCCTGCTTTACACCAACAGATGAGTGACTCTGAAAACCAGGGAGAAGGGAGAATCCACATCCATCTTGGGAGCAGAACTATGGGTCAGTATCCTGTTGTATGTAGTCAGAATTGCCTTGTCTGTTAGCCCTGGCTGTTCTTCAGTGTCTTTGAATGATATTAATGACCAGCAGGGAAGAGATTAACAGTGCATCTACTCCAAAAGCCACAGTTTCTTAAGTGCTGTGATGATTTTCACTGACTGGAGGACACAATATAAGGCCCATTCCTTCTGAGTTCTGAAATACTCAGTGGTTTTATGGTGTTTTTTCCCCCCAAGTGTCTTTAATATATTTATTTTTTAATATGGACTATATTGGAATTTTTTTTTAATTTTACTTTCTGGATCAATATTATGAAACATATGGCTAAAATATAGGAAGAACAGTTGCAGGAACTGGGCATGGCTAGTCTAGTGAAAAGAAGGACCAGTGGTGATAGGATAGCAGTGTTTCAGTATTTGAGGGGCTGTCACAGAGAGAGGAGTGGGACAACCTATTTTCCAAAGCACCGAAGGCCAGACAAGGAACAATGGATGGAAACTGATTAAGGAGAGATTCAACCTAGAAATAAGGACAAATTTTCTAACAGCGAGAACAGTCAACCAATGGAACAGCTTGCCTTCAGAAGTTGTGGGTGCTTTATCACTGGAGGCTTTCAAGAAGAGACTGCACAGCCACTTGTCAGAAATGTTATAGGGTCTCCTGCTTGAGCAGGGGTCTGGATTAGATGACCTACAATGTCCCTTCCAACTCTGTTATTCTATTATTCAAGATTGTTCCACATAACGAGTGAGAAATTGGCATAAAAATGAAATACAGTTGACTAAAATAATGAAATATTATAACATTTTAAACTGCAAAGTCCATATGGGAAAAGCAAGTGAAAGAGAGTGAATGTATTCACAATGAAACAAACATTTTTTTCTATATTTTTCCCATGTGTTGAGTCCCCCTTCCTAATTTGCTGCCTGTCAACCCCACTTTTTTCAAACTTAAGACTACCAAGCTTAATTTGGATTTAAGAAAAATTAGTGACAGCTAGGGAAAGGGCCAAGGCTTGTACAGAATCCTCATACACAGACTCTTACTAAAAACCTGTATCTTCCCTTGAACAGTTTAGAATAGATTTCACTGCATGAAGATGTCTACTAAGAAATAAAGATCTTTGTGGCCTTGTCAATAGGAATCTGCAGTAAATAAAAATACTGGCAAACCATCAAAACAAATATTGTTCATTATTTCTGTAATATGCCATCTTCATTAGAATATCTGTCATGACTTAATTAGCGTTAAATCATTTTGAAGAAAAAAGACATTTTCCAGATATATGGATATAAAGAAAGGGGACTAATGGAATTGCTAACTATGCCAGACCGGTTCTTTCCTGATGTAGCCATACTGGTTGGAATGATAACACAGGCAATATAATGCATCAGAAGAGGAACCAATTGGGGAAGATAACTGTCAAATACTTCCACTAATAAGCATTAGTTATAAGTATGCCTTTTCCTTACTGTATTTCTCTTATTTGTAGGTATTTGTGGGAGTTAGTGAGAGACTTCTTGAAACCTCTTGGAGAAGATATTGTTAAAAATACACTTGGATTATTTTCTCAGCCATCCTTCCAACGTTGATTTAATTTGTAAAACACAACTGCTCCTACAGAAAAATGGATGGTATGAGAACTACATTAAACCATGCTATTCTCATAAAACCAAGAGCAAGTAGGAAGATGACCAGCAGATCGAGAGGTACCTATCAAGTTACCTATCAACAGGTACCTTCACTAAATGAAAAAGGCCACTGTAGAATTTTTGTTGCATTCTACCCTAGAAATAGAGTGATTGCTAGTTATGGTTCTGACTACGATTCTACCATCCTATTTGGTTTAATGATTGCTCATGTATGTTCGCCATTGTCATAAATACTTGAAAAGTATAAATATTTCTCTTTAAGAAGTAAAATGACTGACAGACCAAAACTATGAACTTTACTGAGACTTTTCAACATTTTTTAACGGAGGCAATAAGAAAGAAAATGTAATATTCAGTGTTAAGAATTCCTCCTCCGTCTCCTTCGCTGTCCTTAATGCTTTTCACCTGTCTGTTGACTGTCTAATTGACATCTCATAATGTGGTACATATTTTCTTGCAGTAGATGTTTCTAATTATCTATTCAATTGCATTTATGTGGGTTAGTGTTCATTAGATTTATTATGAGCAATCTTGATTTATGGAAATGTATATATAGAATATATAATTGGAATTAGCACACAATTATATACTATGCACTTAAACTTTCAACAGGTGCAGAGAACCATTGGATTAATAATGCTATTGGTATTATTGGGAAAAGGGTACTGAAAGAAAAACGAAGTTCCTTAGTTCACTGGTAGGGCCTATAGCCATATGTGTTCCATCTTACTTTTGCAATCCTTAGAGGCCCTCCACTTTTCCAGAATGAGCATGGCCAAAACTGTACTGATTTGAGGAGGTTAAGGGTTTCAGTCTGTTCCCAAAAGAGCCTTCAATTCTATTCCAATCAGCCCGCTTTTCCCATGGAGGAGTAAAAGCCCATTAAATCTGCCCAGTCCCCTTCATCAAAAGATGAAAAATTGGACTTTGCTTATTTCAATTATGTTCTGATAGCTCCAGCCATAGAGACCCTCAAAGGCTATATACTTTCTTCTTTTTTAAAAAATGTCCCTCTGACTAAAGGAAATTCCCCATTGTTGGTTCACTTCAAAAGCAACTTCTGTCCTTCAGAACCTTTTGCTTCAATTTAATTTGAGTTAGTAACGCCAAAGATTGCTGCTGCAACGAGTTATTTGTAACCCTAATGAAAAACCAACGGCATGAAATATGGGGAAGCCGATAACCATTACTAAATTTGATCTCTTGCATTGTTAACAGTATCTTTTTGTTTCTGAGGCATTTATTTTTTTGCTTGTAGGGCTGTCCTTTCAATAAAGTTGAAGTTTTCTCAGTGACAACTCTTTGATATATGGACAATAAAAATATAAAAATTAATTTTCTGTGTTACAATCTAGTTATAGCTCGTGGTACTGAATATGCAGTCTATAACTCTGATATGCTAAGTTGGCTATGATTTGAACAGTACTGATAGATTTTCCATGAATAGTGGGTGGGTGGGGAATTAGTGAGAAGTACTGGAAATGACAGGTCTTCCATGAAATCATAGAGAAAAAAGATACGAGACAAGCAATTTACGGTTTATTTCAGATTAGCGGCTTCCTTAGGAATCAGTTCTCTGCGGGTGATTATTTCCATATGTTTACTCATAAACTGTTTTGATTTCTAGTATCATTACAGTTCTGTTGTTATATAGACAGAAAGGGTTTCTACTTTATGACTTTGATGCAAAAAGCATTTCATATACATGGAATGTAATTCAGTTTATTCAGTGGAAGTGACTTACTGATTCCTTCTGCAAAACTCGGTTTGGTGGCTGCAAGTGAGGATTAATCAATTAATCAATCACACAATTCTATAGAATGAAGTAGAATCACAAGGAATTTCTTGATTACTTAGAGGCTCTGATGCAAAGATAGCAAAGTAGGTGGCAATAGGATAAACATGAGATATCACAAGGAAGAACTCAGACGGTACTATGGCTGTCTGAACTCTTCATTTCACAGTTGAAAACACTTTAAAATTAACATTACCCGCCACCAGTGCTCTGTACTAACCAACGTTTATCTATTCTTATGGGTGCACTGGTAAGGTGGTATCTTGGCTATAAGCAATTGCACTTACCAACATTTCTACTTAAAATTCAATCTGCGGAAGAAGTGCACGCACAGGAATCAAGCACAATCTTGGTTTAGCTGACCCTTGTTTATCATGGATTCAAACTCTTTGAAGACCAGTGCAGAACTCAGAAGAATGAAACAATATGTTATTGTGTACTATCTCTCCAACAACCTTAAAAATAGTTGGAATTGTCTCTCAAGGCTGTGGGAGATCCAAGGACAAAAGAGCAGAGGATTTTGCTTCAGAATTCCAACTATCTCCAAGGAATAGGTAACTTCTCTGCTTAGACCTTGTGTTAAAGTTTAATTTATTTTGTCTGTCTGTGGTTGTACCCTTATTGACCCTCATTCTTCCTACTAGTGATATATTCTGTGTAATTTCAGACTGTTTCCCCATTTTTAAATTCTTCGTATTAACTTAGGAGCTGAAGATCTATCTCATTGATTATAGCAAGCCAGAACCATCTTGTAAAATGCCTGGAATGCTATGTGTTTGGCGTAAATGAAGATTCATATAGATAGGTTTGTATGTGTATGTGTATATATATTGAGTTTATCCCTTGTGTGTGTGTGTATGTGTGTGTGTGTGATGTTGTATATCTCTTTCGTAATTGGTTTTTCTCTCAACGGAGGAAAGAAATGCTGAAACGTTTAGCTACAGAGCTGTATGCTGCAAGGTTCAGAAGTTGAATTATGGAAATTTTATTTTCCCCAGTTTCATCTCCCTTTCATCAGAAGAGCAACACAGTTTATGGAAGCCTATCTGTCACACAGTCTGTGTTAAGGGCAGTATGGCAGATGAGGTTCTCTCTGGAATCAGAGCAAGAGGCAAAGTTATTGGACACCTGAGGAAAAAAATGGAAATGTGCAGCCTTTCATTCTAATGTTTTATCCACAACCCCCTGTCCACGGACTGGCACTGCTCTGCGGCATGCCAACAACTGGTCCACGCAAACAAACAAAGTCCCATCCATGGGATGCAGGCAGCATGCAAAACCATGGCCCCTCCAGTCTGTGGAAAAACCTCTTTCCACGGAACTGGTCACTGGTGCCAAAAAGTTGGGAGGCGCTAAACTATTGGAGAGTCTAGAGAAAAAAAAAAAAAACCAAACCCAAATGATGCCTATTTTCTTTTCCTATTTGCTCTTATGCCTATTTTCTTTTCACTTCCCAAACCATAATTTGGTGCTTAAACTCTTGTTTTATGAATAAAACATGAGAATGAAAATGAAACAAATAATGTAAGGATATACTACTAAAGCAACGTGTAAAATTACTGTCAGTTATTAAAGAATGGCTGCTGGCAATACATGGCAAAGCTAATAGAAACTGATAACAGTTTTCAAATATATAGTATAAGGTACAGTTTGGATTTGGTTCGTACTAGTTTTATCTCTCCTGTTAAAATATTTTGTCTGTAGCAAAATGTTTGATTACAACAGAGTTTTCTGAGAAATCCTATCAAACAATGATCTCAATTGTAAAATTAACTTTTTATTTCATAAATGTCATATTGTTCATGGTTAGACAAGGGCTGTGTAGAGAAAGGTATATTTCGTAGCTTTGATTGTTTTTTTTCTTCAGACTAAGAGGACCACTAGGTACAAAGACAGATGTTCCATTCTTTTATTATCACCTTTTTTTTCCAGTTGGTCTCAGACTTCAAAACACATCTCACTGAGTCATCTTGTCCACAGAAAACGTCTGTGATTAGTTTTCCATCAGACTATTTTGTGAACTTTGATTGCCACCTACTTGTGCTGTTCTTCTTTCTCAGTTGATTGTTCCCTAACCGAAGAGAGGAGATTCTATATGGATTTCTTGAAGCAATACATTTTTTTGGTAGCATACTCCTGTTTGAGCACTGCTAATAGCTGAAAGACAGAGCATCAACATAGATTCTTGCAGCAATCCATTTTAAGGTTGTTGGTCTGTTCATTGCTACAGTGTCCTTAAAATCTGAGTGTAACTCAGATTCCATTTGTTCCAGAACTCAGTAGGCCTTAATATTCCATATTCCATCCCTGGATTCAGAATGTAGATTACATATACTTCAAAAGAATCCAAAGTAAGATGCAGATGAGATTTCTATCAGCTGCCTAAAAAATATGGAGGAGTATCTTACTACCAAACAATAACAATAATTTGCTCACCTTCCTTGATTTTATATATTAGTTGATTCAGCCATTGTTTTTCTATAATTGAAGGAATAAAACAAAATACTATCTTCAGTGCATCAAGGGTACACCACTTAAAATTGCAGGAGTCTTCTTTTTGTTTTTGTATAGATACCAAATAAAAAATATGCCAAAGTATGTGAAAATCTACAAGTCAGTGATCCTCTCTCAATTTTAGTTTCTGAAATCATACCATTCAAGACAGATAGCTATAACAACAAAAACAACAACAGTCGGCTGACAAATGCCATACTGGTCTAATAAAGAAAATTTTCATAAAAAGACTACAACGGTTAAGATTTTTTTTCCCCAATGAAGTGAAGTGATTGTGCATGAACATGTATATAGAGGCATCTGGAAATTGCTGGATAACTTTAGAAAAAGATGTGGCTGCTTTAATTATTCAAAGCAAAGTATTTCATATTATCCTTCCTTCTCATCTTTCCTATTACCTACTCCTATTGGTATCTTATGACTATCATTTGTTGATTGTATCTTATGATTTATGGTGATTGTATTTTATGATTATGGTCATGATTTATCATTTGTTTATAAGTACACAGAGAGCTTATGCACTGGAGACAAATTCCTTGTGTGTCTAATCACACTTGGCCAATAAAGAATATTCTATCCTATTCTATATGTTTCTAAATGTTGAAGAGCACTATTTTTGAAAGATTTACACTGCCATTCCATCTACATCAAAAAAGACCAAAAAGCATAGCAATGGCAACATTCCTCCAGGGGTCTTCTTTCATAAAAGATTTGGCACCTTCCCTTGTTTCAATAGGTATCTTGTCAATTTTGAAACTCCTCTTCTAGTGTCTGTGATCCACCATGTGTAACAAATGCATTTGAAATGCATTTCATCCTATTCATATGTTACAACAGCTCTTGCTATGCTGTTTTTAGATGGGGATTTGTTTTGTTTCTAAAACCCCTAGATGGCAGTGTGAGCTAAGTCATGATAAAATATGAAAAGCAAGGAAAAGAAAAAGAAAAAGAAGAGAAGGAGGAGAGAAGAAAGTTTGTAAAGAGTATCTAAACAGGATAGATATCAATTTACAATTCTGGCATTTTATTTTTCATATTTCAGTGTACTCTGTATGAAAAGGTGGTTCATCATACAGAACAGTGAGCAAAATCTACATCTCAATGTGGTATTTTCCTTGTGTTTTCCATTCCCTTTGAAATTATATTGTTACACATGCAATATTCAATTATAGAATCTGTTCTACTTCCTAAAATGGATTAGTTCACAGGGGGCTATACCAGATGTCTCTATGTATTGATGTTTTATGTAAAAGTGTTTTCTCATCCCACTTCAAATGTAATTAGAATAGAAGATATGTCACAGTTTGGTCTTTAAGAATGTCTTCCTTCTTTGCAGTTATCAACTCACATGTGCTATTAATCTGGGCTACACCTTCATAAAAAAAAGAAGAAGCTGGAAATGGATCAAAGTCTGATTTTGTTCAACCAGAAATGTAACCAGCAGAGTTTTATTGCATTGCAAGGCATTCAGAACAGGGAGTATAGACCTGCCACACTTTTATAGAAGCATTTATATCTCTTGAGTTGCTTTGTGGGAGGAAGGAATTCGGAACCCACAGTACTTTCTTTGTGGAAAAAAATTAATATGCCTGTATATGAGGCTGAGGGTCAAGAACTTTGAGGTGGGATTCCAATGTCTGCTAAGGAATGGGAAAATCTCAGATTCAAATGCAAAGTTAAGTAATGGATTAATTGCAAGCAATCATAGACAATCTAGAGCTGCAGTGGTGCAGTGGTTAGAATGCAGTACTGCAGGCTACTTCTGCTGACTGCCAGCTACCTGCAATTTGGCAGATCAAGTCTCACCAGGCACAAGGTTGACTCAGTCTTCCATCCTTCCATCCTTCCAAGGTTGGTAAAATGAGGACCTAGATTGTTGGGGGCAATATGCTGATTCTGTAAACCGCTTAGACAGGGCTGTAAAAGAACCGTGAAGTGGTATATAAGTCTAAGTGCTATTGCTATCTAGAAGATCAGAGATCAGCAGAGACACTGAGAGGCCCTAAAACAGAGATAAGCAATTAAT